CACAGCTATCAAGAGATAAAATAAATTGAATAAAAGTTTGAATAAACTCCCAAATACTTCATAGTCTGAAATAAATTATTTTCGTGCAATGGAATATTAGCCTGTCCACCGTGTATCCTTTAGATTCCATTAATTTCATGAAGCTGAAGGACGCACTCAGCTGTAACGGAACTGCTGCACTTCTAGCCACTTAAGTTGCTATAAGCAAACTAAAAAATATGCATTTCTTCACAATGAAGGTGGTAGATATAGAACTGATAGCATCTTGGACAGACAAAGAAAAAACTGTGTTGCCGGCTGTTGAAATCGAGTATTTTAACAAACAAAGTTAACAAATAAAATTTTTATATTTAGCAAATGAAGGTAAAGAGCAACTGTAATTTAGTTTTTGAATTTAGTTCAAACCATGTGATCATATATTAATAGTTATCCAGTTCTTATTGTTTTAACATAGATCTATTGCAAACAGAATTATGCAGAAGGCATCACTCTTCAAAAACTTTTAAATTCATATTTAACATCTCTTTAAAGGGTATAAAGACAAAACAGTATTTATATGAGGTTTTTTAAAACAATATATCGACATCTAGTTGTGACTTTATCCAGATTACTTGTAATTTCCTGATTTAAAACATCATTTGAAACATCAAATCCGTTATCTAGTGCACCGCAAAAAAGTGTTCAGAGTATTGGCAGTCAATCTTCTAGGATCTTTCAAATGGGGATGAGTCACACGTGGACTTTGCATTAATTGACCTAGAATTAATGAAATTCTGATCATGTAATTCCTATATTCCATATATCATAATTCTTAATTTTTAAATGTGTTAAAGCTTTAAAGCTTCTGAGGTACTTGCTTTGTGCCACAAATTTTTATGTTTCTTTAAAAATTTCCTACTAAAAAACGCAATTCGATTCCAACGATTATCTTGCGATCTATGTTATATTTAAATGGTGAACAAATTATAATAAAATTGCTGATTCTTACATCCAATCGTTGTAGGTTTCAACCTGGTCGTAAACGATAAATACCACACTTATGAAGTGTAAATACTTCAACTGCTTGTTGGTTTCATCTTATTCTCCAATATTTCTAACCAACCGAGCCTCGGGCATTTCGAGTACCGCATTTATGACTTATATGAACTCATTGCTTCTTAATCGCAGCATCAATTGAAAAACTTGAGCCATTACAAGTTGTTAGAAGTGGCATACATTTTTGCTGTCATTAGGTGCAGCCAAGTTAGTGGTATGTGTCACATATATCCTGCTGCCACAAACGCAAAAAGTGCAAAAAAAAATTTTAGTGAATGCGAAAACTTTTCAGCGGTAAAAGTGAGTCTTGGCGAAGTTTGAATGGCAAAAAGTCGACGTAAAGTATAACGTGAACGGTCGCCGATACGGATGCCGACTTTAACTTAGTGCAATGAGTACTATTCATTTGTGCGATACCATGTGATATGCCACCGTACTTGGCCAAGATCATTGAACCATTAAGTGGGCAATTAAATTCAATTAACTCCCGTCATAAATGTAGCAGCGGGGCGAAGACACAGACGGACAGAGCACGGAGAAAGACAACTGCTAAAATATAAAATCGGAAATAATTGTAATGTCAGCAATCCACAACACATCGTTTATCTCAAAGTTGCAAAGAGCAGTACTGCCCTGCGAATCGATGTATTCACGTATTCGCATTTGTACCTACAGACTTTTTTACTGCAAAAAATCTTTCGTTTTTCACTAAACAGCAGAAAATCTAAAAACTTTTGAAACTCATTTCAACATTTGAAAATTGCGGTCAGTTTAAAGAAATTCTGCGATTTATTTATCTCTCCATTTTGATTTCTAAACCTTTTGGAAAGATATTGCCGTTCTTCCTTGAATTTAGTAACACAATTGACAATTGATTTAATAGAAATTAAAATTACAATTTTTGAAATATAGTCACACTAATTATATTTTGATTATAATGTGATTTTGATTACATTCTGATAAATCAACAATTTATTTCAACAAGTGTCAAACTGTAAAGAGTACTAGATCTTCACGATGGATTCAGAGATTTTTCTTTCTATCAGACTATTTGTTTAAATATGTAGTTCTATTTCAAACTAAATTAATAAATAATGATAACAAATTTATCTCTATGAAATTTCTACTTTCAAGCTTTTAAAACAAAAGTTGTAAACAAAATAGTTAAAGGTCAAGTTGCTTGTAGCAGATGCGTAATACCGTCCCTAAGTTCATAGGGACGTAGGTTTAAATTGTTTCTTTTCTCTACCAATGAGAAGAAAAAAAATAAAAAAGTATTAGAAAAATTGTACAGTTGGAAGAAGTATAATTTCAATATGCCTTTAACATACTCCTAACGTATTGCACATAATCCACAACTCAGTTGCATTCTGGTTGAACGTAAAATAACTGTCAAGCAACACGCAGCAGGCTGACTAGGAAATGTCATCAGGCGGTTCGCCAAACCGAGCACCAAATCGGCAATATAATTGCAGTGAAACGCAAGTAGCACAGCTAAAATAGTCTAGTATGAATGTATTTGAAGGACAATTATTTTCATGGATTTACTTACACTAAAAGGACCTTCAATTTTTCGATATTGTTCTCGGCAATAGCTGAAAGTGACTGCTTCTACAGCATAAAACAATCTTTTATCGTGGATAAATATTGTACATAAGTGCACCTTTACAGCTCCGAAAAAGCATTTATAAAGAAAGCCCATTGCACAAAGATAGACAGACATTTATACACTACCGTAAAGATAAAAGTGCATACCTCCATACACGTGTCAGTGCTTCTTAGCAGGTCCAAATGAATTTATTACTCTACAATCCAGAAAATATTACCTATAAAAATGTGAAAAACACCATGTGGTCTACAGCGTCTCAAATAAGTGTATCTTAACCATAAATAATTCAAAACATATAACATATCTGTCAAGGAGTTCTAACTTTCATTTGGTTATAAAATTTTTACGAAAATAGCATCATTTGAGTGGCATTTGGCATAATGACAACCACACAATTTTCTGAACAAACTTTAGAGTTCATGTGCAATTCTACTCGAGGAGCTATACTCAAATGACTTTTGGCTCCACATATCACCAGAACAACAAAAACAAACGCAGTTGCAAAACTCAACCACGTGATAGTATGAAATAAAATGCTGTATGACAATACAGAATATTAACACTTGTTAAAATACAATGTCAGACAATCAAAACAACAAAATTCATAATGAGCCCAATTTCTAATATCTCACATATAATTTTATAATTATAACAATCCCTTAATATAGCTTACCATCAAGCAAAAATTAAGAAATGCTTCCAATATACCATAGATACCATAACATGCATTTATTGATTCAAGTGTTAGTGGACGATCATTTTGCTAAACAATAGAATAACACATTGCAGCATACCGATTATCATTATTGCAGACCAAAGAAAGGTAAAACAATAGAATATCATCTGTAGATAAACAGTATTGTGGAACACAGCCATCGTATGCTGATGGGAGTGTAAAACTATCACCACAGCTTTATTATACTAAAATTCTGCCGCTAGTTCTACTAGGGCTTTGCTCGATCTGTAAAGTATATCTCAAGGTTAGTGATCCTGATGTACGAGACGATGCTGCAGTTTCTAGTTGAGAGTTTTACTCTCATGCAGAGTGAATTTGTTAACAATTTAAAGAAGACGGTGGAGGACAACAAACCAAAGGCAACTTCTACTAATGCTAAATAGCTCAATAGCATTATTCAAACGCACCTCGTGCACACCCATTTACCTGAGTGATCACCTTGTACAGTCACCGGTAACGAAGCCATATAATGGACTATATATGGTGGTAAGCCAAAACATCTCTTTTAGTTTTGATATTAAGGATGGCCGCAAGGTGATAATAGAAAGCAGTACAAGGGTAAAAGCTGAATACTTTGATGAGCCTAAAGGTTGATGATTCAAGAACTAGTTTTGATTACTTCAAGTCTGTTATAGAAAACTTATTTACTTTGAAGTGTAGTCATATAATCCAAAAATTGCAGAAGTTCATCAGTTCTGCCACAGACCAATACCGAGTTAGGGACACTACCAAGATACGGCCATGAACATTCTACACACAAAGAAACGTCGGTTTCCGCTATATAATTATCAATCATTTTCACATCTTAGTACAGTAAGCAACATTTATTTCGATCGAAACTTGGCAACAATACAATAACTAAATAATAAATAACTTATATATAGCAGTAGTTATAGTTTTAAATAAATGTCGTTTCTTTTTAACATTAGTTCATTTTTCAAAAATAATGTTAGATAAAATTTTAATTATAATGTGAACAATCGAAAGCTTTCGGTTGCTTTTAAATTTGAAAAAGCTCTTTTGAATGCATAAATTTACTTATACTTGTGTGAATACTAAGCTTTTAACCTCAATGTGAAAATAACATAGCTATAATTTTATGCTTTTATTTTCGTAATTTTTTTTTTGTTCAAACTCTTTGGGTAATTTTATTTACATGCGTTTTAATGCTTGATCAAACCATGCTCTACATAGAACAAATATATGCAATCAAACACATATTCAATTTGTTGGCAAAGTTAGAAGTGGATGGTCTTCTTTTGCGCAAGCAACATAATTTTACAAATGGCAACGCTGAAAGTACTCAAATTTTATTTGGAATTTACTCGTATAGCTGCTGCTTGTAAATTTCATGTGTTCTGCTATAATAAGTTTTAATTTTCAATTAAAAGTGTTCGAAAAGTAAACTGGAAAAAGTAAATGCTTTACGACTAAATAATATTAATTTTCAAGTATTATCAAAAGTGCGACATAGATACTAAGATTATATGGAAAAGTTGAATATATAATTTAATTTTATTTTATCTTTTACCTCTCCTTAATTCGTTCTTTCGTATTGAACTGTATTGAAAGAAATTATATAGAGTGAATATGTGAAAAATGTGTAAACCCATATTTTGAAAATATTCTTATAGCTCTAAACCAACAAATAAAAGCGGTATAAGTATTTTGTTTATTTTGCCTGTTTCATCAAGCATTCAGTTTCCAACTAGACGACGATAGAAACGCAAGTGCAAATTTTCATTGGCGACGACAATCATTCTTAATGCAAATGGTATTTCAGTGTTAAAGACAAATTGTTATTTACAACCGCGAAGTGTGTGAACTTTATTTGTGCAAGAAACTATGCTCCTCAACCGAAACAAGTAAACAAGGAGTAAAAATTAATTTTTATATTTTTAGTTTCTTTTTTAAAAGCTTTAAATATACGACTATATATGTGTATATAATTAATTTTTTTATTATTTTTTAGATAATAAATTTTATTTTTATTTATTTTGTTAAGTCCTGCATTAATTACTACATCTTCCTTTTCAGTGCCCTCCGTCTACTCCAGGTTTTTTAAATATATGTAGTTTTAAAATATCTAACTAAGCTTATTAACTCTAAATGAAAGCAAAACCTCGTTTTTAGTTACAAAAGTTTAATTAAATCTATAAATTTATTTTGTCGTAGTTCCGCTATACAAAAAAGTGCATATACAAATGCTCGAATTTTCGCTGGAAAAATGGAAATATAAATTGCTTTATGCTTTATGGTTCCTTAAATAACTTTTTTACTTTTTGTCAATTTCTTTTTCTGTTCTCGTTCTGTCTGCTTTTGTTTCCATTTTTGTTTTTCGTTTGGTTAAACGTTGCGCGTTTGTTTTTCTTATTTGTTTTTGTTGCTTGCTTTGTTACACACATCATTTCCGACTTCATTTGAATTATTTAAATGCTTTGATTAAAGCAAAATCTATTTCATTTTTGTTATTTTATTGCTGAACTTCAGGTTTTGCTTTTAAATTAACACGTCCGATTAAGACTGTTTTCTTGTCGTCACGAGTTTATTTATTTAATAGATTTTTGATCTACTCCAAAGAACTAGAAAATAATAATATAGCAGATCTCTAAAATTTTATTCTATCAGTACATTTTTCAAAAAGAGCCACAGTGAACTCGCCTTGTCAATGTAAAACACTTACAGAGATAAGATAAAAACAGCCGTACTATACCTCTTTCGTTCTGTTGTCATGTGTTCTGAACGTGTCGTTAGTATTTCCAAAATCAACAAATCAATTTTAATCAAATATAGTTTTACTGCACAAAACAAGATACTATGCTCAGAAGTTGTTTGATTGAAACAACTGTCACAGAAAACGTAGCAAGGCAAAATCAATTTTTCAATTTGTACCAGAAATTGAAATTTTGCTGATAAGCTTCAAGTAGTTTTAATTTTTATTGTAGCCCATGATCTCTTGATGCCAAATTGTAATTTTTCGGAATTCAATAGGTTTCAATTTAGTCTCGAACCCCATTTACTATCTTCACATTCTACAAGTCAATATAAACTAATAAAATTTTAGAAGATATACCATCTTCCAATTACTAAATGCGACATAGTTGAAGAATGTAATGTAGGCATTTCTCTGTTCACCTAATAGATTGGGTGGTCTCCAGTAGATTTAAACCTTTTCAAAATAATTATTGTAATAGTACATTACTAACTTTAAAAAATTAAAAACGATTAATTTTAGCATTTTTACTGTACAAACCAGCATCATTTGTTGTAGTATAACACAGACAGTTATCACGGAAGAAATGTACCTGGAATACCCGCGTCTACACCAGATCACAAGTTACGCTACTCAAAACAAAAAAAAGCGATCAAATCAAACTTCCCGTAGAATTGAATTGAATTGTTTCAGTTCAAACAACATAATGATAGTAAAACTTGTATCTTGCAAGTATATCTTTTCCTTCAAAAGGAAAATTACATCTTATATAATGATAATAAATGCTCTTTAATACTTATGTGATGAAGCGACGTTTCGTAAGAAACTTTCCAAAGTTAACGAAAAAAGGTTAAACATATAATAGAGATCCAGAAAGGAAATTCCCCAAATTGAAAAACTTATACATTGTTCTTTCTTTATCTTTTGTTCTGTTCTTTCATTTTGATTATGTCGAAAGACGATGGTACATCTTTAACCTCCATTGACACACGATCTATTGCTTCATTTCCTAGATTGGAAGCAGCATCTGAATCATACTCAATGTCTGATGGCGGACCAGTGAAAGTACTTGGGGAAGGGGGTGCAACTTTTACTCCATTCTCTTTGTGTTTACTTTGATGTAACAGGATAGTTGATTCGGTTGGTTATAGCTTATATTATATTATAATTTAATACTATTAACGTGCATTGGTGGTGATATTAGTTAAATGATGGAACTTCGTAGGTCGGACATTAAACTTTTAATTGTTGGTTTGGAAAACATTTCTTGTACAAGAATTATGGCTGAATTGTAGTCTACTACTATCTACCACTACTACTATACTACTATAAGTTGTTGAAATTCTCTTTAGACAGAATGGAATTTGCATTCAAGATGATTAGTTTTATGTGTTGTTTAATGTCTTTGTTTATTCGTTTTCTGCACAAGTATGATTTAATTAGTTTTTCTGATTTATGTACTTATTATATAGCTCATGCTTGGCATTAAATAAATTGACGCATTCGATCAAAACATAATTACATTTAGATATATTATATAAATATTTAAAACTACAAGAATTTTATGGTGAACTTTTGAATCTATAAAAAATATTCTTTTAAAATACACTTTATAACAAGAGGAAAATATTAAACGTGTAAATTTCAAATTGTCTAACTAGTCTAACTTCTATTCTTTACATTTCATAGTTCTATGAATTACCTAAAATATTTGATTTTACATTCAGACTACCACGTGTTAATTGATTCAAATCAATAATCGATAAATACGGCTTTGGCGGCATATTAACTGACGGTTCATATATATGTGTAGGAAGCTTAATAGTTTTTTCTGCAATAGACCTACTTCCTTTATAAAATCCTTCATGAGGCTGGTTTAAAGTATCATATCTTTTCGTGTTGATAATTGGTAAAGTAAACTGTTCAGGATCGTGACGACCAATACTACGGTAGCCACTGAAATGACTACACCCAGGACCTTTGGGCCGTAAAGGAGAGAATCCACCTTCGTCAGATGAGCCGCAAGAGTCATAGTTTATTGATATATTCATATAAGAAATGGGTGCATAATACCGCGTTGTTTGCGGCCTAGGCTTAACTTCATAACGTGTTTTCGAACGGGATCGTGATTGATGAGTGCGTGGTCGATTTTTGTGCTTTTGGCGTATGTCTGGAGGCACTGGAACTGCTAAAACGTTAATAAAACGATAATACTGCAGTAGTGTGCGTACCAATGTCCGTCCACAACGGTAGTCTTAACAATGAATAAAATGTTATAAGTAAAATTTTAAATAAAGCTGCATACTTACAGCCATCTTCTGTGTATAAAGCAATGGTTTTTCCATCCCTGAGATAATGGCCACCTACAGAAATTTCCAATGTGTATGAATTAATTGTATCGCTCAAACGTTCGCAACAAAAGCGGCGCACACAACCGACCTTTCGTTCATCCGCATTAAACATCATATTGCTTTGAACATAGTCGGCAGCATTGGCAGCAAAAAGACGTGGAAAGACCAAATGACGTTCATAACGGTAAACATCCTCGTATGTATTACCATATATAAAACTGCCATGCATACTGGTATGTGCATGTATATCGAATACAAAATCGATTTGATAAGACTAAAAAAATTAAATCATTCCTGAATTAAATAATTACAAATATTACTCTTTGACTTACATCGGAGTTATCTAATTCTTTTAACATATTCCTTATAGCAAAAACAGTTGGATGTGAATATTCGGTTGCTATGTGCCAGACACGGTTTAAGTCCTGGCCTATTAAATTACATCGATTATTCCCAAGAAATACCCCATCCGGATTAACCATCGGTAATATTTTGAATACAAAATTTTCCCGTAGTACATTAGCAATTGGGTGGTTGCCTACAAGAAATTCAAGAAATCCTTGGCACACAAATGAAGCTGGAGCTTCTGCGCCATGTAAGCGACATATTACAACTATAACACGTATAAAGGATTTTTCTATTCGGTTTGTTTTCATTTTTCCAGTGACATGATCAATCGTTATGAGGTCTAAGTTACGATTTTGCTAAAGACATAATATAGAATTTATTAGTCAGATCTAAAACGCACTTCTCTAACTTTAAATACCAGAGTTTTAGCCATTACACTACGTTTAAAACGCAATTCCGTTTGCTTCGCATCTAAAACATTTAAATAGGACTGCAGTCGAGAATAACTGTATGGTAAAGCCGCAGCGAACTGGTAGACATCATCTTCCTTATCGAAGGAGAATGCAAAACTTAGCACATATTGATTTTGATGCAAAATTGATCGATAATAAAAAACATTTTTTTTTGGCAATCGTTGCCATTTTGGACGGCTTGATGATTTAACCAAGGGCGTGAGATTAGAATTAAATAAATTCCTTGGCTTACTCATATTTACTACATTAAAAATAACGCGTTGATCGACTTTAACATTATCCACAGTAAAATTAAACCAAAATCGATATCTAGGATTACATGTATCGGGCCGCAAATATAAATCGTATTCAAAATCACCAACGAGATCAGCCTTGCCTAAATTGCCTGTTTCAAATGCAGCATCAAAACAAAGATGACCACGTTTTGCTTTTCCGCTCTGCCCAGGAGGCCGTATAATCACTCGGGATACATTGCCAAGACCACCTTCACCATCACTATCTTCACTTTCTGCAAATATAATATATTTTAATATTCACTTTATGTTAAATTATATGCTATGTATATTTTTAATTAAATAATGACAAAGCATTATACCCTCCTGCATGCGTTCATACATGCTAGTGTGACGCAGAGGATCACAAGCTATTCCAATCATGTGTCTAAACTTGCTCTTTCGAAAAAGATAGTCAACCTTTGCAGTTGACTGCAAGAGTTCATTTAATATTCGTTCTTTTTCAAATACCTTCGTTGACTACTTACTATGAAGATAGAAAATTGAATAGCACCATTACACCTCAAGCCAATCTATTTTTAATTAAATTCTTTCAATTACTAAAGTGTTAGTTTCAAAGCACTCATATCTCAAACTTGCTTACCATTAAATAATCCATCATTTAACCTTCCAACCAAGTCATACTGCTTAAAAGCAAGCCAACGTCACACAATCTGATTGTGAAATATTTCCTAAATCGCGACATTGTCAGGAAGGTACTTGACGTGTTCAAGACTGTGTCAGTTATTCGTACTTTACGTACTTTACCACTTTTACATTTTAGATGCGTGTTGTGAGTTTTCTCGTCAACATTTCATATAAGCTATTGCAATTATAATTTTAGTGTTTTAGGGCTAAAAATTTAATTATTAACAAAAAAAAAACAGTTTTCCTTTACCAACTTGTATTTGAAGTTTTTAGATTGGATTCATTTTTTTTTAATTACAATTATTTAAAATTTGGACAAATGTACATATATTGAAAATACAAAGGTATCGTTATAAGAACTCCATATGTTTTTTATATTTTAACCAAACGCTTAATTTTGATTATACATTAGTAATTTATGTTATTTTGAAATAAATTAATCAAAAACATACAGTGTTGTGCATAACAAAAGCAACCAAAATTTGCCCATCAAATAAATAAGTTTTTTGTCTACTTTTTACTTTTCATTCAAAAATCTAAATACACAGTTTTATTTGTTATTGTATTAGCTATTATAAAAAAACAACAAAATCTACAATTCTTCATATCGGGTTAATTAATTCACACAAATAATAAAATATTGCGAAATGCGGCTGTGCAGAACAATAGCTACTTTATTTATTATATTAAATTTTTGTATTATTTTTCTAAATTTTGTATAAAGCCCTTTGCTTTTTATTACTTGGGCACTTTTACGGGTCATAGGTGATAATTAATTGTTAATAAAACTATTTGAAATTTTACACCATTCATCTTTCATGACCTCAAACAATTGGAAACTTTTCGACCCCCCAAAGCGACGTTTGAGAATACCAAAATGTTCTGAGTTGAATTAAAATCAGGTGTTTGGGCTGGCTAATCTAAAATTGGAATTCCATTTTTCGAAATCCATTCTCTTATCAGCTTTAAGGTGTGTTTTGGGTCGTTATCGTACTTATATACCCGTCGGAGTGACATTTTTCATCCGCCATGGGGTACCATATGGCTCTCTAAAATTTTTTTGTGTTCATGTTGGGCTATTATTTGATGAATTTCATGAAAAGATCTTAGTCTAAATCCTGAAAAGAACGCTCAAATTATCATTGACCCACGCCCATGCTTCACAGTCGCTTGGCAGTTACGCGGATACAAACGTTTTTCTTTTTCGCGACATACTGTGCACATCCCATCAGAATTAAAGATGTTAAATTTTGATTTATTGCTGAAAAAAATTATTTTCCATTTAGTAAGAGTCCAATTTAAGTGATTCCACGCGAAATTTGATCTAAATGAAGTATATTAATATTAATTAAAAAGCAAAACAAAAATCTGCCTCTTTTGCTAATGCTTTTTAGTCAACATTGGTTTTTTGACTGGTCTGTAACTTTTGAAACCGGCTTCGAGAGTAAGCCTGCGTACAGTACTAGAGTCAACACCTTGTTTAAGCTCGGCTACGACCTTTTTCAACGACACGAATGGTTGTTTTTTTTGTAATTCTTATGATGTTTCCATCAATTCTACAAGTAATCTTAAGAGAGGCTTCACCCAAATAAACCGTTTTAACGGTATTTTGTCTAATTATATTTTTTTATAAGCTGCGAAACAATAAACTAATTAATTTTAAATATTTTGGCTATTTCATTTGAGCACTGCCATTTAAATATTTTTCAATTCTTGCTTCTTTAAACTTCAAAGTATACGTGTCACTAGCCATGATAAAAACGTACTTCCATTACCTGATTTAATATTGAACTATTCTGTGTTTATGTTCTAATTTGCTTAAAAACATAAATCACAGCATAAAAATGCAAAAAATCAAAAAAATATCTTGCTAGAATGCACTTTGGTCATAGATCTATCATTGATCTTGTCTCAGTTGCTATTGTTTTGCACAGCCGCATTTCGCAATATTTTATTATTTGTGTGAATTAATTAACCCGTTATGAAGAATTGTAGATTTTGTTGTTTTTTTATAATAGCTAATACAATAACAAATAAAACTGTATATTTAGATTTTTGAATGAAAAGTAAAAAGTAGACAAAAAACTTATTTATTTGATGGGCAAATTTTGGTTGCTTTTGTTATGCACAACACTGTATATGTTGAAGAAAATGTTAATGAAGATCATTATCGTATGTGACCGTTATAAGATAAACCAATGCACCGATATCGGACAATTGATCAGATAATTAAATCGTATGTAATTCGTATGTTTTTTTGTAACAATTTTATAGAAACATTGCAGATTATTTATGATATTTTGTAATAATATTTGACAAAGTTGATCTGTCATTGGTATATCTAAAAATGATAATCGAAAAGACAGTGATATATCTAAACATACTGTCAAAGTTTTTATGTTTCAGACATCTAAAGACAAACTTAATATACTCTTCTTAAACTGTTGTGAAGGGTATTTGCAGTTGGATAAGGATATTTTGCGATTTCACTTAAAGTTCACGTCATAAATTCTAAGCTGCTCGCATGCGACATCACTATTTTCTATTAATCAGTTGCGTGCATTTCCATCAATATCTTTAAACTGCCGACCAAATATGTTTAATTCTAACACTGTAATCACAAAAATGTTTGTTTGTCTAATATTTGTTCCGACCTCCATTTTAACAACACCTTTTCATCTTAATTTAATAGAACTTTTAGAATAAGGCAAAAACTATGAACGCCTCAAGCCTGGTATAACACTGGTGTTTTATACTAAGTTTGAACATTTGATTATGTTGCTCAAGGAAATCATTATAACATTTCGATAAAATTTGTTAACATTTATTCTGTTTTGAAGTGCCTAGCGCAACTATGAATATTTAAAATGACTCACCTGAATCACCCATTTCACCTTAAGCTTCAAAACATTTTAAAATGTATCAATAAAAAATCAATCAAAACCGAACTTCACATATAAACTCATGTGTCCCACGTATCAGTGGATGTGGCTCGTTCTAAGTTCTGGCGTCTGACATTAATGGAACTCCAATTTTTTCCAATTTGGCACTTATGTTGGTTGATTTCTTAAACGAAATAAAAAATTAATTTCATAACGCTAGTCACTTGTATGAGCACGAAATTCTCTTTAATTTATTGTTGTATTTTTGCATTTGAGTTTCCATATAATAATTTAAACTTATTTTTCTCACTCAATAAAGAACACACGCCACTACTTACTTTCCATATAATAATTTAAACTTATTTTTCTCACTCAATAAAAAATACACGCCACTACTTAGATCATTATATAGATGAGCAAGGTTCTTTCTATAAGCCACGTTATAAATTTCAACGGATGAAATCAACTATTTGCTTTATTACAACTACAAAACTCATTACGCACGCCTTTTTGAAGTTTTCCAAAAGTGGGATGTTAAGTATGCCCGATTTCAATTCTTGTAATTGTGATTTCCTGCATTGCAACAGAGCAGAAACTGTTGACATGTAAATTTCATTTAAATACAATACCGTTCCAAATAAAGCTATCTGTTTGATCGATAATTCGATGCGGATATTTTTTCCTTTTCAAATATTCGCAAAACTTGAACAACTTTTTACTTGGCTTGCATAGATTTACAATTCCTGTAGCAGTTTACACTGTGAACTATGTGTCGCATTAAATGGGTTATGGATATTCATATAAGTTGCTGTTACTATCACGTTTAAAACGCGCAGAAATAAAGTATTTGAAACTTGTCGTGTCCTTCTTTGTCCCATGCAAGCAGTACCGTGGCTGCCCTTTTTGTCATTTAAAAACCGAGTTTTGTTGAAACGTGCCTTACTTTCGAATATAGTTTACTAGGTTATTTCGCATTATTTGGTATTGTTGTGTAATCAATAAATGTATCCGGTAACTATCAATACGGAACATATTGCGCCTGTGAAATGCTAGTATATATTACTCTATTTAAAAAAAAAATTTATAGAATATCCTTTACTATACTATAATGTTAGAGACAAACTCAACAATGAAAAGAAGGTACCGAAAGGTAGCATCCATGCATACGTAGTTTACTAATATGTTCAAAATATAATACAATTAATAATTAAAACCATTTCTTATTTATATAATTTTAATTCAAATTCCACCAATTTTAATATAATTTATTTTTTTTGCAATTGCTTTATTTATAGTTTGTTGTTTGCTTTGAATTTATTAGTAATAGTAATTTAGTATATTTTCAACATTACATTATATTTTTTTAATCTTAATTGGTTTTCTTCTTTCTATAGATTAGGTAGCGTTCGGCCTCCAAAACGTTGCAGAAGTGATATGGATACTACATCAGCTTCAGACATTGTTATCATACATGGGAATTCGCATCCAGACTTAGCAAATCTGGTGGCAGAGCGAATGGGAATCAAAAACGGAGGTTGTTCTGTTTTTCATAAAACAAATAGAGAGACGATGGTAGAAATTGGAGATTCTGTACGCGGCAAAGATATTTATATTGTTCAAACGGGCACAAAGTAAGCTATATATACCTAGTGATCAAAAAAGAACGAGAATTTTAATTTTTTAAATTCCCGCGCTTATTTTATTTTCTTGCTGGCACAACATTATTATACAAATTCTGTCAAAGTTTAACGCATATCGTAAGATTTGGTTTTTTTTGTCGTCTACACAAAGAAGTCGAAAAATTTTCGTGTGACGATTTTTATAATGGATCAAAAATTAGAACAACGTGCGTGCATCAAATTTTGTGTTGCAAATGGATTCAAGTGTGCCGAAACGTTGAAAATGTTAAAAAAGGCCTTTTGTGATTTGTGTGTGTCGCAACCACGAGTATACGAATGGTTTAAAACGTTCAAAGACGGTCGTACAAGCTTGGACCATGATAAGATCCCTAGCCGACCAACAACATCTGTTACTGAAGAAAACATTGAAACGGCGAAGCAAATCGTGTTAGAAAATCGTTGTGAACCGATTAGAGAGATTGCAGTGTTGTTGGGCATCTCATATGGATCGGCCGAACACATTTTAACTGATGTTTTGGGTTTGAAACGCGTCACTTCTCGGCTGGTGCCAAAAAAGCTGAATTTCATTCAAAAAAGCATCGTTGTGATGTGGCCAAAGAGATGATTTCCAACGCAGATTGCGACCCCACATTCATCGAACGCATCATAACTGATGATAAAACATGGGTCTATGAATTTGACATGCCTAGCAAACAACAATCGACCGAATGGTGCTAATTTTCCATTATAAAAAATCGCCACACGAAAATTTTTGACTTCTTTGTATAGACGCCAAACAAAAACTAATTGTACGATATGCGTTAAACTTTGACAGAATGTATATAATAGTGTTGCCAGCGTGAAAATAAAAAAAAATTACCGATTGGATAAGCGTGGGAAAAAGAACGAAAATGAAAATTCTCGTTCTCTTTTGAGCACAAGGTACATGTATATATAAATTTCATTTCGTAAGAAAAGAATATAATAGCAGTCTTTATAATGCAGAGATGCGAATAATAATATTATGGAACTACTAATAATGGCCTACGCCTGTAAAACCTCATCTGCGCGATCAATTGTTGGTGTGATTCCTTATTTACCGTATTCTAAGCAATGCAAGATGCGAAAACGTGGCTGTATTGTAACCAAGTTGCTGGCAAAGGTAATGTGATTTACATGATGTTTTCCCGACATTTTAGTCTAGATACGTGTTGTATATTCACAGATGATGTGCACCTCTGGCCTAACCCATATAATTACAATGGACTTGCATCAAAAAGAAATACAAGGCTTTTTTGACATACCAGTTGATAATCTTAGAGCTTCTCCATTTCTTCTACAATATATACAAGAAAGTGTATGTACCAAAAATCATACTAAAACATATGAATACAATTAAATTTATTGTTTATAGATACCCGATTATCGAAATTCGGTGATAGTGGCCCGCGATCCAGGCTCTGCAAAAAAAGCAACATCTTATGCTGAGCGATTACGTTTAGGTATTGCTGTCATACATGGTGAGCAAAAGGAAGCAGAAAGTGATGAAGTTGATGGCAGATACTCGCCTCCTCCAGTGAGGTGAGTTATTTGTATTCAAACAATTTTATAGCATCATTTAGTTTGTATATTATGCTCTCAACATTTGTCAAATGTATCTAAATTCATTTGCTTATCTCATATTTATGTATTATTGACTAACTTTCTGCTAAAACTTAGATCAGGGTTAAAGCACTAACTTTATTGAAAAGTTTTTTGTAATATATGTTAAAATTAAAAAATAAAAATTCATTACTTTATGTCTAATAATTATTCCTATGTAAAATTTATATTCATTTTAAAATAATTGCTCATATAAAAAGTATATTCCCTTTTTATTAAGTAAATAAAAAAGTACATTTCAACTTAAACATTCAAAATTATAATTGTGAAAAATGTCCACGTGCCGCCAATAATTTTGCAAATTATTTTCTATTTTTGTTTAAAATTTTTTAAATGTTATTATTTATTTGCATGAAATTATGTTATTTAAGTTTTGTAGTGTGTATAGATTTTCCGATTGATCCTCCTATTCTAGGAACAAATTAATGAAATTAAAAGTATTTTGTCTAATTTGTTCTATCATAGTGGAGGGTATCAGTATTCGACATTATGATTTCTTAGAAAGAATAATAATAGTGCTCGTACACAACATTTATGATATATTTATTAAATTATAATAATTCTCATAATACTCAAATCCATGGTATTTACTCAAAGCAAATACAATTTTTTGAAAATTCAATATATATATATATATATATATATATATATATATATATATATATATATATATATATTGTGTTGTGCATAACAAAAGCAACCAAAATGAGCATATCAAATAAATTAATTTTTTATCTACTTTTTACTTTTCATTCAAAAACTTAAATACAGAGTTTTATTTGTAATCCTATTAGCTATTATAAAAAAACAACAAAATCTACAACTCTTCATAACAGGTTAAATAATTCAAAAAAAATAATGAAACAAAACAATAGTAACGTTATATTTACGTTTCTGCTATATTAAATTTTTGTATTATTTTTTTAAATTTTGTATAAAGCCCTTTGCTTTTTATTACTTGGGAACATCTACGGCCCATAGGTGATATTAAATTGTTAATAAAACAATTTTGAATTTTATACCATTCATCTTTTATCACCTTAAACATTTGGGAACTTTTCGATCCCCAAAGCGACGTTTGAGAATACCAAAATGTTCTCAATTGAATTCAAATCAGACAATTGAGCCGACTAATCTAAAATTGGAATTCCATTTTTCAGAATCCATTCTTTTATCAGCTTAAAGGTGTGTTTTGGGTCGCTATCGTACTGATATACCCATCGGAGTGACATTTTCTCATCCGCCATGGGGGACTATATGGCATTCTAAAATTTTTCTGTACACATGTTGGTCCGTTATTTGATGAATTTTATGAAAAGGTCCAAGTCTTAATCCTGATAAACACGCCAAAATCATTACTGACCCATCCACATGCTTCACCATCACATGCTTACGCGGATACAAACGTTTTTCTTTTTCACGGTGTACTGTGCACATCCCATCAGAATTATAGATATTTAATTTTGATTTGTTACTGAAAAAAAACTGTTTTCCATTTAGCAAGAGTTCAATTTAAGTGATACCGTTCAAAATTAATATTAATATTAATTAGAACAAAACAAAAAATATAGTTCTTTTGCAAATGCTTTTTAGTTAACATTGGTTTTTTGACTGGTCTGTAACTTTTGAAACCTGCTTCGAGAGTTTATTTGGGTGAAGCCCCAAATAAACCGTTTTAACGGAATTTTGTCAAATTATATTTTTTTATAAGCTGCGAAACAATAAACTTATTAATTTTAAATATTTTGGCTATTTCATTTGAGCACTACCTTTTAAATATTTTTCTTCCTTGCTTTTTTAAAATTAAAAGTATACGTGTTACGAGCCATGATAAAAACGTGCATCCATTACCTGATTTAATATTGAACTATTCTGTATTTATATTGTAATTTGCTTGAAAACATAAATTACAGCATAAAAATACAAAATATCAAAAAAATATCTTGTTAGAATGCACTTTGGTCGTAGATCTATCATTGATTGTATCTCACTTGATGTTGTTTTGCACAGCTGCATTTCGCAATATTTCATTATTTATGTGAATTATTTAACCCGTTATGAAGAATTGTAGATTTTGTTGTTTTTTTATAATAGCTAATACAATAACAAAAACTCTCTATTTAAGTTTTTGAATGAAAAGTAAAAAGTAGACAAAAAACTTATTTATTTGATGTGATTATTTTGGTTGCTTTTGTTATGCTGTATATACATATATACATGCTACATAAGGGTGGGTGAAAAAAACAAAAATGAGATTTTAAATCTGCGCATCTCCTAGGAATAGGAATTCGTCATTGACCAAAAAAACGATATTCCCAAGTATTGGAAAAGTATGATTAAAACTGACGCTACGGTATTCGAGCAAAGTATTTGCCAAAAATAAAGCAAATAACTTCAGGAGCGGTCTTCAAGATTTATACGTCAAAGCGTGAATTTTCAAAGATATCAGAGATTTTCGTGGTGAGCAATTAAAAAATATCACTCTCGCGATCATTATTAAGTATTTTTGGAGGTAGTATTAATATTTTTAGGCGACAATGTCTGCAATTTTAAATTTCGTCACCCAGGTGCCACTTCACATTCTCGAAATTTGAAAAGTGGCACCTGGTCATATATTTGCTAAAAATGTTTATTTTAAGAGATCAATTTACATTTAACTCGTTTGATTTGTATAAAGTATGAGATTTGGTTTAAGTGCACAAGTGGAGTTACAGCAACTAATGAAGATCTTCGAATCATTAAAAACGCTATTGAATATTCCATCATTGGTAAAAAAATTTAGAAAGTTGTCTTGATGAAAATGACCAAGCATTTATGGTACTAAGCAGAAGAACTCATGACCATGGCTTCCTTTGGTAACACTGTTTTACTTGAGGAGAAAGCAAAAATGATTGAAAATCTTAGTCACTCATTTAAATATGTTCCAAAAAATAAAAAGCTTGATCCTTTAGATATTAGAAATATACCAATTTACTCATCAATATTTTATTAAAAAAATATTTAAAATATCTATCAAATGAGTATATATTAATAATTGTTGAATAACAAAGGAATGAAAGGAATCTAAATTGAAAAATTTTCGTTTTTTATACTGATAACCCACCTTTACTCGAGTGGCGAAACGCCAATTTAATCCTATTCTTCCAAAACTTTTGCAATGTGGTTTATTGGTCAATGGCATATTCCTAGAGGTGCGCTCATTCAAAAGTTCATTTTTAATTCTCTCCCTTAAAATATGAGCCATCCTAATGCTACGTATATAAAATGCATAGAATTCATTGACATATGTATATGCATACGCTTTGTTATAACAAAAAGTATTTATTTGTTTCAAAAAAACCATAAGGCCCAAGTAGAGTTTGAAACTTGTAGTTGACTTGTTCTACAAAAAACAACAGCAAATTTAAAAACTACACTAATCTGTAGCTTTATCAATTTTTCATTAAGTAGAAAATTTGCAATGAACTGTTGCACAGTTAATCGTTTTTTGTTAATCATTTTATAAAACAACATTTAAACTGTCTAAATTTTAGTCTACTTAATTTCATTCTTATTTTTGTGTTAATATGACTGCAAAGGTTTACAAATGCATTTACCTCTAAAAGTGTGTTGATTATAAATGTAGTTGTGCAACTCATTTTGTATTATTAAAGTTACACTTGCTTAATAATAATTAAGATAATTTTTATATTCGAATAACAAAAACATCAAAAGCGAAACAAATTTTTTTTTATTTATTGTTTAGTACCTATAGCAATTTAATAGGAAATTCAGTTGAAATGTGCTTACCATCAACTCCTAGGTTTGTATTATTTTATTTAATAAAAGATATATATTTTATATTCATATTTTTAACAATTTTAAACAATCGCATAATCTCATACATATCTATACTATACAAACTCCGAATTTTCAAATATTGTATAAAACACAATATATCATAATAAAATATATAATTCTTTTGCCACTATTAAAAAAAAATCATCACAAACTCAACAGCAATAGCAGAACACGAACTATAAGCGTCTCAGTTGGCGTACCTGAACATCCGCCCAAAGTAAAACCGCCCATCAATGTTGTTGGAGATGTCAATGGACGTATAGCAATAATGGTGGTAAGTTAATTTGTTCAATGCTTTTCTTTTGAATCACACACAAAAATCATAAAACACAATAATGAATAATTTGGATAAGTATGTGTATGTCAACGAAAGCACCTTTATGCATTTCTTTATCTTATATATAGTTTACATACAAAAAAAATCGAAACGAAGGTAGTTAAGTCTTACCATAAAATAATCATTCTAAAATGTCACTTAATTGACACAATAACTTTAAACAAATAACTTAGGAAATGATTAACAATATCGACTAAGCAAAGAATTTTAAATTGAGACTACAACGATAACAGAACAGTCTAACAACTCTAGATGCAACTATTGAAAGCCGGAAAGTAGAAGCATACTGTTATCCAGAGTCAGTCAGCAAAAGAAGTCGAAAAGATTCAAGAATGGACATAAACGTACAATATTATTTAATGAATTCAATCAATTCCTATCTTAAATGATAACATTATGTGAAAATAGAAATTTCGATCTTTACAACCTTATTACTTAAAGAACTGAAAAAACGATCCTTAACTGTGTCAAGGATACAGTCACTCGAACGTTGAATTACCACAAGCTCTTGACGAAAATTGTGTGTGTCGTTCACAATAGTGTGCTACCTGCCATTGCGTTATGCATTCAACAAAAAATTTGTGACAACGTACTGCCGCGTTCACATATTCAGAACAGTAACAAATGAACTCTACTGAACACATACCAAGTGATAGATAAGTGATAGCCTATACTATCCAGTATAAACCCTCTTAACATTGTCAAGACTTGCTGAAATAATATATTACACTGTGTCATATTTCTCGTAGCCAGTCTTATATTTTTCTACAACACATTATTTTGCTATAATTATAATTATAACATATTATAATTGCTATTATTATAATTATAACATATTATAATTGCTATTATTAACAAGCAATTCTCCTAATCGCACAGAATGCTGGTTTTATCGGCATTCGCTTAAAAGATCTTTTATCATATCAATATCAATTATCTTAAAAATAAAGAAGTATCTTTTACCTTTTTACAAAATCAAATGTGTTTCGGTAAATAAGTACAATCGATTAGTAACGTACCAAGTGACACCTCAACTATTCCCCCCGTCACATAGCTATTTTCAATTGAAGATTACATAAAGTAGAAATAAACATACACCTGTCAAATATAATTGTGTATATATTGCAACTGCAAGTGAATAAATAAGCGAAATCAATTTAAAATTGAACACTAATTCATCGTATATCATCATCATTGTTCGGCTGATAAATTCTGATGGCAATCTACATTAAGGGTTTTGCTAGAACTACTAATTCTCTAAATAAATCAAAAAGTATTAAAATTTGAAAATATAAAATAAATATATATTCTTTTTATGTAGGACGATCTTATTGATGATGTACAATCATTTGTAGCAGCAGCAGAAGTCTTAAAAGAGAACGGAGCTTGCAAAATTTACGTTCTAGCCACACATGGATTACTCAGTTCAGATGCACCAAGACTTATTGAGGAATCTCCTATTGATGAAGTAAATTCTCTGTTTTTTTATATCTGTAAATGGATCTCTTTTTACTTTTTTGATATTTTACAGGTTGTCGTAACAAATACCATTCCACATGAAATTCAAAAACTGCAGTGTCATAAAATAAAAACGATTGATATATCTATTCTAATAGCTGAAGCTATACGTCGCATCCATAACAAAGAATCAATGTCTTATCTCTTCCGAAACGTCACTCTGGAAGACTAAATAATTCAAACTACAATTTCGTTTTTTTACTTTAAACGATCAATTTGCTTAAATAATAATATATATGAAAGTTATGTATATGAACAATTTCTAATTGATTAATACTAATAATGTTTTTATTTCTTTATTTAATAAATTATATATAATACAAAACCGTTAAGGACATAAAATATTCAGAAATATAAAATTCAAAGGAATTACAATTTAAACTGTAAACTATTTTAATGTAAAAAACCCCATATATGAAAATACACAACTTAAAATTAACTTTTTGGTTTCTGTTTTCAAACTAAGGTATTTGCGATACTAAGTTACTAATCTAACGCCCACTTACAGATGAGCATACATCTTCTAAACGCCAATTTCAAACCGTTGCAAACTTGAAGGTGACTTAATATTGAATATATACGAGTTTGTATCTGTATTTCGAAACACAATAATTTCTACTTATTATTCAATTTTGTCTAATTCTTCTTTAGAGATTAAAGGTAAAAAAATTTTGTGAAGATTATTTCATTCTTAAATGGAATATAACAATTTATTAGGTTTTTCTGTACAAAAATGATATTAGAAACAAAAACAAACTTTAGTTCACCTACATAAAACACAAGCAAACCTTCGATTGCCGAACACTTTTTTAAAATGGCTAAATGCAAACTCGAACGCTATTCTCCATAATTTATATGAACTGAATGACAAATATTTTTAGATTGATTTTATACATACCAAAAATAAAAAACTACTAAATTATCATCGATAACTTATGGTCATTATCCATATTGATGCATCTTAAAGCGGAGAAGCTGAGAAAATACGGGGTTAATTAAGTGCGTCGCTCTTAGACATATCAGCGGTCAGCTGGAATCGTTAACACTAAAATCGAAGTGGTTGCACTTCATCACTTTCATTGATTTATCTCACGTATTAGAATACATGTAGGCATGTCTATTTTCCTAGTACGTATTTAAATTTGGAATGAAGTCTAGAAACTTAGCTTTACGCAATCTCAAGAGTGTGTATATGAAAGTTATAATATTTTTGCGCACACACATACGTTGATACCGTTTTTGAACTTGCAATACTTGTTTTGAGAATTAAGTAGGTAGATAGATTTCATATATGTACTATATCGCAATGGGAGAATATAATTGCATGGATCCGAAAGCAAGACTAGCTAATCGCAATTAATATGGAACATGCAAACAGTGTTAATGATATCGATTCTACGCTGAAAGTCCATCTTAGTAATTATCATAACATTAGTGCAAGTAATTCAAAATAATTAAATTATTTGTCACTTTTTGTATTTTCGCTAAGACCAATGAAACACTTGTTCCATAAAGTTATCTTAACATTTTGTTTTTATTTTTGTTTTCTTGATTAAATCATTTAATTCCGCATTTTAAAAATATTTGCTGTTTTGCAACTAAGTTTATTTTGCATAATGGAAATCTTTATCTGGGTGTGTTTTTAGGACAGGTTACAGTGTTTACATTTCACTTGATTCATTTTACGTACCATATATAATAAAAGTCTCTGATTTTTATACTGTATTTACATACGTAAGCGTTTATTTATGATAATCCTTTAAGATATAAACCAGTCTAGTGCAGCACGTGAGACAGTAGCTTTTGATACGCTTTATCTAATTTTAAAACTTTTTCTTCTACAATATTTAAATTTATTTTCAAATCGTTTGACAAATTTATGCTTTAACTCTGATGATGATAAGACTTGAAGCTGATTATGAAATAATTTGCAAAGTGTTCTTATCAGTTAGAGATTATATCTTTATTATCTATTTATTAGTTTTATTTTCTAAGCACTCTTTGTGTGACGGTGGAGCATTATTTATAATTCTGGCCTTAGTAGGTCTAATCAAAACGTCAAATTTAGTGTCGTATATATTTAATTATCTATAATCAATTAACTGATTCTTTTCCAGCTAAAAATTTGACTTAAATATTAGCTACGTTTTCTTTAGCATTAGAACTCTGCTGACACTGTACACTGAATTGTTCACACTCAGCACGTATGGCTCCCAATAGTTTAGATACCAACCTTAAGAGGTGCAGTAAATTTTCAATTTCTACTTTAAGTTTTAATCGTAACGATGAAAAATATAGCAACATTTCATAAATCAAAATGTCTGAGTAATCTGTTCACAGTTTAGTACTCAAATATAAAATACATTTTAATACAGCCAATACGAAATAGCAAAATGTACTGATTGACTAAATTATAATGCATGTACTGGTACAATAGCTCTTTTAATATTTGTATTGAAACTATATAAAATATACTAGCTTCTATGAAATGGAGGATTACATACCTCTACAATGTATTGTTGGTATATATGAAAATAACATGTCTGACTGCTCTGTTTATAATTGGATCTTATATTTGCAAGTATTTGCATTTAAACAGCTTTAAATGATCTGCAGCTGGTATTTGTGTGCAACACAATTTCGCATCAAGTGATACATTTGTGCCAGATTAAATAGCAGCTGCCCCAATATAGAATCAAAAGATAAAACTGCTGACTGATAACAATAATTTTAAGAATTTAGTACATAAGTATCACATATAGTAAGTGGTCGCTTTCCTACCATCGTGCATTCATCTTAAAAATATTTTCTTATCTAATAGTCTTCATTGAGTCATATTACACAGTAATATGTATGAAATTTTGTCCAACTGTATGTACTATATGTGTGGAATTATTTCTTAATTTGCTAAATTATTAATCAAATGCAAATAAGCACTGAAGTACTAAACACTTAGCAGGCATATTAATATTAACTTAATAAGAATATCACAATTAGGTACATCCATACATATATAAAAGCCTCTTCGGATCCAGTTGAAAGGAACGATCAGCATTCATTCACAGTTCATTTAACATTCACAGATAGATGAGGAAATTACATATGTAAAAAAGTGCTACTGTTTTTGAATTTCTAAATCTTTAATAAGTTTAACTTTTTATTACATTTTTCACCCTATATCAACCTTCAATCAGGAGAGAGTGAAGCTTACACAAGGGAATAAAACGAAATCGTTGAATGTATAAAACATATAACTGTTGTCACCGTCTGTATTATTTTATTGTATTTATTGTAATTAATTTTTTTTCTGCAAGATACAATATTTACTCACATTCTTATCACTTCGTACTTGTATTATCTCAAACATCAAAGGAACGGGAAAATAATTTAATAAAGCACCTCCGAATTCTCAAGCAGTTTTCAGTTGTGATTGCACCGGATAACAAAAGAAGCGGAGTGAACGCGATATTTTCCCATCTGACATACAATAGAAAGGATAACATAACATTTTCTGGTGTGTATCTGTTTTTTTTTATAAAATTCATAACACAAAACGCATAATTTTTTTTTTGAATAAATTCAAAACTCTGAACTCAATAATATCACTAAAATATTTTTAATTTAATCGTCTACTATGAACTAAGTCTTCGGTCTATTTACTCACTGACATTATGAGCAATAAAACATGTATTATTCCAATTAATAGACGTTGAGCTATGGTACCTCATATTTTAGATTGAAAGGCTACACTTATGAAAAGTGTAGTCATTGCTCAAAGAGCCTTATCAAAGTCCTTAATTAAACTATAAATACGCATAACAGGTGCTCATCATTAGCAAAGAGAAAGAGTAATAATTAATTTCGTATACATACAAGCAAAAATGTAAGTGCATGTAGGGAAGAAAACCTATTGCAAAGGATCTAAAAACCAGCTACTTTGGTATATTAAGAACCAAAGTAAGTTACTTTTCAAACTGCGAGTAATTATTTGTTTATAATCAAACACTGAATATCTTTTTAGCATTCATCAATCGAATGCCGAATCAATCGAATTGTTAATATTTTTTGTCAAAAAACTCTTAAATATTTCATTAACATTTTGTTTGATTTTTTCCGCAAATATGATTATGTCGTTATCATTCATTATACAAAATGTCATGTATGGACATTTCTATTTTGATTTCAACTTTTACCTATATTCTTTATCATTCACAAATGGTTGCTAATTTATAAATCTTGTTAACAAGTAATTTACGAGTCCGTCGAGGCGTACGTCAATGTATATTTTTGGGATAATTGTTTCCCCTTCGTTAATTATAACCGCTGCTGTATATCTTTTAGAACGGCACCTAACATTTGTGTGTACAATAAATCTGGCAAATTGTGGTTTTTTTAGTTACTTGACAAACACCAAATATTGATCTTGGACTATGGCGTTCAAACTACAACTACATTCAATCGATTGAATGTAGTTGAACAAACAAATTTAATTAATTAAATAAACAACTCCATTTGATTTTAAGCTACTTAATCGCGGGCTTCGTGGAGTACATGAACAAACAGTTCAGTTTTAATTACTGTCTATTGTAAAATTGACGTTGCTGTGTAAAATGTGATATGATTTAGTGATTTAGTGATTTAGAAGTGAAGATTAATCTTGACCGAAGTTGATGTTTACCCAATGTAAACCGCGATAAAGTTTAATCTGTGTTTTTATGCAAATTATAGTTTATTGCTTAATAATTACGCCCAACACAAGCGATTACTTAATTAGCACTTGTTTACCGTTAGTTTTATATTTTTTTATTATTATTATTTTACTATTTTTGAATGACAAAAACTAAAGTCACCTGCTCTGCTTATATAAGGTCGCCATTATCGTACTTTTCTAAAAAAAAAGGCAAATTCAAGGTTGAAGGATTCCTATTTTCATAAATGTATTATTATGAGTAATACCATTTCCTTTCAATGACATTATATATAAAATGTAACAATACTTTTTTCATTCGTCACAGCGATCACCTACCGCTTATATAGGAATTTACGAAATTATATGGAAGCAGATATCCAAAATTATGCTAGTTATGTTAATATTAATTCAAATATAATTTGCATATTTTCAATATTTATTAAATTAAGTTGAAATTGTATTAGCAAACGAAATTTAGAATTGTGGACATATGGACATGTGGACTAGGCGCTAATTAAAAATTTCAACAAAAATGTCATGTCGTAGAATCGAATTGCGTATAATTCACTTTTGTGGACTGAAAATGATCCAAATATATGTTAAGTTGAATGGCATTCAGAAATTGGACATCTGGTCCCATTTTTGAGTGTTGGGGATAATTCGAAATGTAAAGATTTATAAAACGCTTTATTGCCTTCACTGAAGAGTGCGAAGTATGTGACTTTCTAGTTTTGAATTTTCCACTTTAGTCTTCGTAATAGTCATTTATGTTAGCGAATTGACTCTGCGGTCAATTCGCTTAGGAACTTATGTCATTCAATGGAAATCTATCAATCTTTCAAAGCCTTTTCAATTTGTTTATTATTTCCGCCATCAGCTACTATTGAATTGAGTTTCTTAATTACAATACTATTATAAGTTGACTAAGGATTCTTTCCTTTTTCTCGTACCTTGCTTTGATTTGAATGCAATATGTCATTTTAAAGAATAGTAGTGCGAATTGTGGTACTCGGATTCCTCTCTTACTCTTTTTGTTGAGATATTTCAATGTATATTTATTATTCTGACTAAATTCCAAAATTATTTTGTTAAATTTGTATGTATTGCGAAATTAGTTACGGAGCGCGCGCTTAGTAGACTTAAGTCTTTATATATGCATTTCATGTGACCAATTCAGACATAAAAACATTTTTTATTTAGTGGTTATTCTGATTTCTTTCCAAAAACAAATTTTTTTATATTAAAATCAAAGCAAAACAAACACGTGATTTTTGAATAAACCAAATATAATGTTACACACATTGGTACACACATTTTTGTATTTAAATAATATTTATATTTCTATAAAGTTATTATCTCATTAATATTCATAATCTATTTTGCATACATATGTGACTGACAAATCTCAGTAGACTGTTAGACCTCACAGACATGTCACAAAAAAATTTTAAAAAAATAAATCCGAACAAATTTTATTAAAATTGATTTGAAAAAAACTGATGCAAAAAATATCCTCTATTTATGTTTCCATTGGCAGAGATAAAATTTTTCATAAATAAAATTATTTACATAGATTAAAATAAAATTTAATAATAATATATTCAACTCTTACGTTATATCTAATATGGTAGAAAGAAGAAAATAGCTTAAGGGTTTTTAATTAATAATTACCTATATTTATCAAATATCTTGTTTAATATTAAATATAGCCGTCGGCACCTTTTATGCGGAATGCTTCTTCCTATTGCTGAAAAGTAATAATTCCACACTCAATACTCTGCCGTCAATTAAGATTTATTCAGCCGGTAATACGAGCAGATCGTTTGCGGCATTTTTTATATCCAAATTCCCTTTGGTTTTTCGAAATAAGCAATTTTATTTTACTTTTTGTGAAATAATTTTTAAACTTAATTGTGTTTGTTTAGGTGGAAAAAAATTTATAATGAAATGTACTCACGTGATGATTAACAATAAGTTCAGAGTAAATTGTGCTCGTCACATGATCAGTGCTTTCAAATTTCACATTAAAGAAAGACTGAAGCAATTAACAATCCCCAAAGGAAATTTTTTTTTTTCAGTTATTAAAATTTCGCTGTCCTAACCGAAGAACAAGGTTAGTTTAGAGGAATTTATATGAAGCCACTTTCTTTCCTTCTTGACTACAAAAATTACAAGAGACAAGTCTTGCACTTCTTTTCAGCGCCTGTGAATTTAATTACATTTGGGTAATCATAAATTCGGGCACATGACTCCGTTGGTATAGTTCCCTTTTTTGCTCAAAAGTTAAGTTAGTAGAGATTTCAACACTTAACTTAATTAAGCCTCATTCTTTTTTACCAAAACTTGATATTATATTTATCAAGCCAAAGCCATTAACTCGGGTTTGCAGTTACAAATGTAATAAATGTAGTTCAACCAAGAAGGGTTTAAAAAGTCACCTTTTCCATTTAAAGTTTGTGAAAACAACACTTTAAGCTTATAAGAAATATAAAATTTACATAATTAACTGGAAACTGAATAAAAAAGATATGTGATTTGAAAAATCTTGAATTTCCCACTGAAAAAAGTTTTGTTAGTCATTATCGACTTAAATTAAAAAATCAACACGTGACCTTCTGCGATTCTGATTTGAAATAGTTTCTTCTTCTTTGTTGTTTTATTTATTGGAAGGGTGCCGACCGGGAAGTTAGCAGAAAAGCACATAGAATACTACTTTTGCAGTTATAGTGAATGGATAAGTTTGTAAATAAAAAATAAAATACTGAACTATTACAATATTGCGAAGACTGCATGAAAATATGAAATAACTACATTTTCTTAGTAATTTATTTTTATTTTCAGTCATAATTAATGGCTGCGGTTAAAGAAGAGCAGGCAAGGAAATATTAAAAATGTTAGGTCTATTTTATGAATCGATTGAGTTATCGATTTGAAAGAAAAATATTCTTAAAATATTAATTAATTAAAATTAATTTTTTTTAAAACAGTTAAAATGTAAATCATTTTCTTTATCTAACTCAATCGAAAAGAACCAAAAAACTCTCTCACTAATAAGCTTTTGTTGTTCATTCAGAAGCAGTAGGGTCTGAGCAATATTTTAATTGCTTACCTAGAATCATGCAGATTTTGTATAGTGAATATTTCAGTTTATGTCAGGGTGTTATCCTATATTGTTCTTCCAAAGATAATAGGAGTTTTTACATTTTACAACGATAGTTTCTTTTTTTTAAATTAATTTCAGAGAAATAAATTATACTGATGCCATATCAGAAGGAACATGCGCATAACCTTTTAACCATGCTACGCAATAAGTAAAACCTAGTAAAATATCAAGAGCTGGTGTTTTTGGTTTTCGATTAATGCCTTTTGCAATTGGTACCAAAGTAACACCTTCTTCCTATATTAAACATGACAAATAATTTTATTTTGAAAATTTTTTAAATTCACATTTTAACAAAAGTTATCTACATTCCGAAAATAAGATTCAAAAAACTGAACGAAAACTCTTTGCGTATTTTATAAATTGTGATAAAAAGTTTGAACCTACTTTTTAAAAAAAATCTTTTAAATCTTAAAAGGGATGTATTGAAATTGATTTAAAATTAAATAATTCAAAAAAAATTTTTAAAATCCTAACAGGAAAATATTATAACAATTTAAAAAAAAAATGATCTTAAATTAAAAAAAAATAAACGAAGAAACGCTATGAAACCCATCTCGAACAGGATACAAACACGATATATAATAAATTCCCTTTTTTTAATGCAAGTTTGAGTCTTGAACATAATAAAAGAAGCGAATTATGGCAAAGAAACCATTCCGTCGTCTGTGAGAGATTACTGGGTGAAATCCTATCCAGAAATCAATGCATCAATAGGTTTAACATTTGGTAAGTCCAATTTATAGAAGTCAAAAACCATTACTATATTGAGTATTGTTATGGAGAGGGTAAACGAAGTGTACTGAGAACAAGATTACGGTTAAGGTTAAAATGAATACAGCTGTAGATAGAGATGATAGGGAATTTGCTCTATTAAAACTTTTTTTATTAATTTGCTGTAGGTGGAAAACATTGAAAGTCACAGTGTGGAACTTGAATCACCTCTTAGAAATGATTACTGAAAATTGCAGTCGCGTTCAGCGGATACAACCCCATTTAGTAATCAAAGGCAAAGACGATTGTAGATAGGCATTGTATTTAGCAAGTTAAATTTATCGAAGCCGGAAAACATGGCCAAACTCCCTTAGAAGAGATGTTACCTATAAGTGCAGGGGGTGGGGTTGGCGCAGATTAACGGAAGGTCTAGCTAATTGCAGACTCTATCCTCAGGGTCGTAGTGGCCCCGATTGTAGAGCGCTATGGGTGGAGATGTGTATGATCTTCTTTAAGATAGAGATCCATCAACTGAGGGGGCTTGTCCTTCACGGTCCAAAGCAGCATGGTTGTTCACGCTCTACCTAAATATATACAAGAATTTAACTCCACCGCCTAAGAATTCTAAAGTTCAAAAAATTTTTTTTTCTGGTAGCATAAATTTCCTTTTTATTTTGGTTTTGAAAATGCGGTGAATTAAAATTTGCAAGAGTAAAAAATTTCATTTCACTTCTCAATTAAACTACCATAAAATTGGCAATTATGCCATATTGCCGATTTAATTTATGAAATTTGTTTTCTTAGAAAAGAAATACAACGTTTTAACAATGTTTTTTATATTTCTTTTAAAAATTTTTGTAGATGACTGATTTAAAATTTTTATTTTTTATTTAAAACTTTCAATGCAACGTATTATATTTGTACGAGGGAAAATATATTTTAAAACGATCAAGTTTACTCTGAAACTTTAAACGCAACCCTCTAAGCCCTTTTCTGTCAGTGTATATACTATAAAAATGATGAAGAAGAAATGAAGAAATGAAATATATCTCGACAAAGTTCTTTCTACCCAGGACTGGTTAGTACTTTATTTATTAAAACTCTTTTTACTGCTGCGATTTGAAATAATGTCAAATAAGAGATGTGCAATGGAAAAAATGTTTTTAAAACAAATTAGTACTCTCTTAAATAATATTCATAGCAACGTCATCATACAGATTATTACAATCTCATAAAAATATAAATTTGCTGCACGGTTACTAATACTTATACCAGTAATTAATTGATATCATTAAAAAACTTAAAAAAGTTTTAGTGAGTTTATCTATTTTTTCTTTTTACGCTGAGTTGTGGTCAACTAAAAAGTTGCACGCTAACTTGTTTACAGAAAAGATACAGATACAGATACAGAAACAGAAAACTGTGCAAGTGCTTGTCGTAGCACATGCTCAATTCAAGTTAGGCAATTCAAAAAGAATCAGGCATTTACAGTTCTGATGAATGCAGAATCATTAAGTTTTGTCAAATTTTAGGCTTTGAGATAGAAAAGATATTCACAACTGATAATGGTAGCGCTTTTGGTTCTTCCCAGAAGTAGAAAATATAACCATTTCTGATTTGAGACGTAGAAAACAATTTCATATGCGCATTACATTCTGAAGTGATAATTTCTATCGCATTTGCATTCGTCATGACAGACTCTTTATATATGAACTCAACGAGCACATACTCGCGACGTCATATTGTAGCACGTAGTGCCCGCAGCAAGGCAGGTGGCTAAGGCACACAACAGACTGGTCAGAATTCACCCAGATGAGCTACAGCACAACTACATAGAGAAGCTTTACAGCCAACATTGGGAGATGAGTCGATGGGATCAAGTTCGATCGACAAGAAGCCGACAAGCGCCGATGCTTATTTCGCTTGTGAGTTGTGTAGTGGCGTTTCATTAGCTTTGCAAACTTTATTGCGAAGAGTTCAAAGTAAAACGGAGCGGAAGAAACTGTTCATTCTTTTCATATTTCGAATTTAATAGACAAATCTCTGTTTTAATAGATAAATCTTGTTTCGGTTGTAGAAAGGAAATTGAACCACTGTGATTCAGTAGCTGCAAAGAAAGAGAAATAAAATGCGTGTGGATGCGTCATCTACAAGAGAAAGTGGGAGCACCGGTTCAGAAATTTCTCTAAATATACCGCCAAGCGGCTTATACAATGGTTCCAGTGATTGTATAATACAGGAGGATGATCCGAAGAACTCGTTAAGTTGCTGGCAAGTTTCTTGTGAATGGATAAAGCAAACATCAGCAAATGTTTTTCGGAAAAAAACTTTATACAAACGCATGCCCATCCTGACCTGGCTTCCAAAATATAATCGACACGATTTTATTGGAGACTTCGTTGCTGGTATAACGGTGGGTCTTACAGTAATTCCACAAGGATTGGCGTATGCAGGCATCGCTGGTCTAGATTTGCAGGTTAGTCGCAATATTACAGAGTTTTTATAAAAATTACATAACATTTTGCTGATTATGAATATAAATAGTATAAAATTATTTTGAATACATTATATAAATTATACAACGCATTTAAATATTGAAATTTATATAGTTATATATTGCTGAAACATTCATTCATAAGTAATACTAACTAATATAAATTTCTGTCGAATGTGGTGAAAAATAATCACAGAACTGAAAAATAACTAAAAATAATATTAAATAAGAATCATTTTCACCACAAAATTGTTTATGAAATCTTTGTACATCAATTTTTTTTATAATTTTACCATTCTAATTGTTTACAGTACGGTCTATATGGATGTTTTCTTGGTTGTTTCATTTACATATTTATTGGATCTAGTAAAGATGTACCAGTGGGACCAACGGCCATATCAGCGCTACTAACATTTCAAACTGCACAAGGTAGTTGGGAGCGGGCAGTATTGTTAACATTTTTAACTGGCCTCATAGAAATATGTATGGGAGTTTTTCAACTAGGATTTTTAATTGACTTCGTATCAGGACCTGTGAGTGCTGGATTCACAAGCGCAGTTTCCTTGATTATATTTACATCGCAGCTTAAAGACATTCTTGGTGTTAACACTAAAGGCGTCACTTTTCTGGATATGTGGATTTCCATTGTGAATGATATTCATAATATAAGTTGGTATGACGCGGCTCTAGGACTTTGTTGTATAGTTGTATTACTAACTATGAGGGTAATGGCCAGCACGACATTCGGACCCAAGGAGGGTAAAAAAGGATGGCAGAAGTTTTTAACCGGACTGTTTTGGTTAATTGGCACATCTCGCAATGCTGTTTTAGTTTGTGCGGCTTCGGGTTTTGGATACTATTTGTTGAATTCTGGAAATGATTTATTTCGTATGGTTGGCTATGTACCGAAAGGACTTCCGAATTTTCAATTGCCGCCCTTTTCTTTGATTACTATATCAAATACAACAACTGGAGAGACTGTATCCACATATGAAAATTTTGGGCAAATGGTAAGCAATTTAGGATCAGGACTGATTGTTGTACCCTTGATATCACTTTTAGAAAACATGGCTGTAGTTCAAGCTTTTGGTAAGCTATTATCATATAATGGTTTATATTAAATTTAAAATTGACGTACTATTTTAAATATTTAACAGCAAATGGAAAGCCTTGTGACGCTACTCAGGAATTAATTGCAATTGGTGTCTGTAATGTAGCGAATTCCTTTGTACAGGGTTTTCGAGGCAATGGTGGTATAGCGCGTGGTGCTGTACTAAATGCCAGTGGATGTCGTACTCAATTATCTAATTTATATACTGGCGTGATTGTTATCATCGCACTGCTCTACCTGACTCCTGCATTTTATTATATACCAAAGGCGACGCTTGCGGCAATTATAGTGGCCGCAGTTATTTTTATGATACAATACCGAGTAATTAAACCAATGTGGAGGACTAAAAGTAAGAATAACATAGTCTAAATTTTGTGTACAAAATATGTGTTATACAATCACCATGAAAAAAATCCATTTATCTTTCATCCCGCAGAAACTGATCTTATACCTGGGATTGCGGCGTTTATTGCCTGTCTGGTACTACCATTACAAATCGGAATACTCGTTGGAATTGGAATTAATGTAGTCTTCATATTATATCATGCTGCTCGTCCTAAGTTGCGTGTAGAAACGCTAACAGTAAGATTTTCATTGGAAGTAATTAGTATTTTATTGACAAGCACTGCTTTTCATTTTACAGACCTCTAATGACATAAATTACTTGATGCTTACTCCAGATCGTTGTCTAATCTTTCCCTCAGTAGAGTTTGTCCGAAATGTTATCAACAAACAAGGCCGAAAGTCCACGTTACCGGTGATTATTGATTGCACTCACATTTATGGCGCAGACTTTACAGCCGCTAAAGTCGTTTCAACAATGATCGGCGAGTTTCAAGCAAGAAATCAGAAGATATTTTTCTACAACTTACAACCGCGTGTTGCCCAAGTATTTGTTGGACTCAATAAGGATTTAGTCGTGTTGTATGATATGAACTCTTTGGAAATGGAGCTTTCAGGAAAGGCTCATCAATCAATCCAATAAGTGAGATTAAAATCAACCAATGTAGGAAAACATTTCAATTAACTAACATAATAAGGCGTTTCGATTACTTACTAGTTTGAAGAATAAATTAACTTATTAGATAGGTGAATTAAAATTGCTAATTTAAATGGGAGCATCATCTAAGTTCAACTAGTTTTTTTTCTCAATGAAGATAAATGCTGCCCGTTAGCAAAACAAACTTAGAATATTTTAATTAATGTTAATATGCGAATAGTATTATAGTTTTCATAGGTACTGAGTAAATGTAAATATTAAGCTTAAACCAAAAATAATCTTTTTTTTTTAATAATAACAGTATACATTACATTTTTGATTAATTAGTTTTAGCAATAAAATAAAAAGTAATACATTTGTATTAGTTTTTTTCTGACAATTTATTTCTATTATTGTAATATTACGAACTTTCTAAATCAACTCTAGAAGAAATGTACAACAGCTAAAAGGTGTAAGAAATACTTTTTAATAACAAATTTTCAAATAGGAATTATGAAAGGAATTATCTTTTCCAGCACTTCGTCATTGGTTAAGTTTGAACTTATAATCAGATCCAGATAAAATTTTCTACTTAATTTTTATTTAAAGTCAAATACAACGAATAAATTATTTTTAATTATAGGGATTCAAACAATAATATGAAAACTACAATAAAGATTCCTTCTCTATGAATTGAATTTTTGGCTACCATATACCTGTTTCGAGTAGCTTTCAATCTTTGAAAGTATTTTTGCGATTAAATTATTAGTTAATAATTTTTTAAATCAAATGCACCAAAAGTTAAACTTCTGCCCTATTAAATTTTTCAAATACAGACCTACATTTATTGACAATAATAAATGTAATAAGACGTCGCAAGGCGCTCTCAGCTTTTTAGAGCCTTTTCCAAAATGGACCATCAAGAGGTTTACAACTGCAATTTCCCTTAGCCAACCTTCGCAATCCACACTTTCTGGATTATACAGGTTGTTCATGAATGGAAGAAAACATGCTACAAAGATAGGCAGTAATACAAAACCAAATAGTGTATGTTATGTCTGTATATATTATCACATCGACATTTATTGAAGATGATTTCGTTGTGGCATTTTGGGCTATCAGTTTAAAATTATATCTTATGTTAATTTTGATAGCCACAGTAAATTGGAAGCAACGATTAATTGTATATAGACACATTATATGAATAGCATTGGTACACTGTACTTAATATATGTTTAATTATAAAGTGCATAATCGGTTTTATTGGGAGTAAAATGTATTTAACACAAATATATGTATATACAGAGGTAATATAATGTAATACAATTAATTCTACAAAAATACTAATTAATTCATTATTCAAAATACAAATCCTTTTAAATTATTAGTTATTAAATATATAGAATTGATATAAATTTTATATGATCAATATATTTTATATGATTAAATTAAATGTAGTTAATTATTCTATTTTATACGATTAAATTAAATTAAGTCAATAGTTCTATTTTATTCATAATAATAAAAAAATTGAACATAATACAATTATATATGTTAAAATATAAATCATAGTTAATAACTAAACAACATGATGATTATTAATATACTTCATGGTTATTATGCATTTCTACTACAATTGTTAGATATTATTGTAAAATTATTAATGTAAGAATGTTTTAGTGTGTTTCGTCTAATATGTCAGTGCTGTTCCGTATAAAAATGATTCAGAATAAAAATGATTATCAAACAAGAAAGACGCATCTTTTACTTTAACATAAAGTAGCAGGACAAGTTTAACATCAATAGTATTAGATATACTATTGCTACTATAAGGCACAACAATGTCTTCACTGCCAAGTATATTAATAGCATTTATACTAACAACAGCCATGGTTGCGCTACTGTAAGTGCTTAGTTGCCTCATAATATTCAAACCCTATATAATATTTCTTTGAGGCCAATATTAAATTTCATCAAAAAACAAATTTAAAATAATTTTGAAAAACTTGTGCATCAAAAGCACACAAAGCCAATCATATATTTGAAAAATAAAAAGCACAAAAAAAAAGGTCTATACATCACCTTCAAAACTATTGTCTCGCCTACCCATGCATATAAAGACATTTATTAAGTGTTTTATAACAAAGAAGAGTAGAAAAAGTGTTGCTATTTATCCGTACCATCAGTTCCAAATAACTCTATTTTGTCTGTAACTACCCAGCGGCACCATTATGCCAGCGCTGAAAAAGTAAGCGAGGAGGTAATAGCTCTTCGTTTTTATTTTTCTTTGTTTTGTGTTCGACATAGTTAATTTCGGGGTTGAAATTATAAAAGAATGAAGAAGAAGAGAATATAAATACGAAAAATTCCTAGTTTTGCCTGCATTGTATACATTTAGTCTGCTTTTGATTTTAATGAAGTGCGTCATATTAGTGCAGTGACCAATTTTTAATTTTTAAAATCAAAATAAAATCAAAAATATAATTTGTGAATCTAAAAATATAAATAAAATATAATTTGTGAATTTAACATAAACTAACTGTAAGTATTATTATTATTATTATTATTATTATTTATTGATTCAAAAAAATTCATACAGCACTTACAAAAATTTTAGAATTTTACTTAAAATCTTATTTGACAATAGCATATTTGTTGTGTGTCATATTAGCATACAAAAAGTGGTGTTTCATTATAATTCATATAAATTCATCAATAATTAATCTTCTGTTAGAAATTTGTACAGGTTATAAATATTGCTACCGTTTAACAAGACTTTAACTTTTTCGGACAGAAGTGCTTTACCAAAAAAAAAAATACGTCTATGTTCTCTGTTCTCTGTAAATATATTATATTGTTTTATGTAAATATTAATATTTTAATTTTATAAAACATAAATATAAAATATAATTCATTCAAAAAAATTTTTAGTATTTTATTTAAAAATCAATAGCATAGGCAAAATTGAAAAAATAAGCTAACATGTCAGCGCTGATATGTTGCATTACAAATTCGAAAAGGTAAGCGAACGATTCAGCGCCTGCCCGCAATGACATGCACGTGTTAAAGTAATTAGGAGTTTCCCTTAATCAGCGCAAGGCATTACCATTCAGCGCTGAAACAATCGAATACCTCAGAGCTGAAAGTCCCGCTGGGCTAATGCTTACTTTTTGCTGTGTACCCTACATTATAAGAGCGAATTCACCTGATGCACATAATTTCAATAATAACATGCATATCGGTCATTCTTTTTCAAACTAGACGGATTTTTGACCTCATGATCTCCGATTTGACTGAAATTTTTATTATGAACTCCTTTCATAAAACAAGAAGACCCGTATCTCGGGAAAAATTTTGTGATTTTTTTCCTAGGAGATATAAACCATACGGTTTTGAGAATTGACATTGTAGACACATTTTCAAAGTGCTATATCTCAAGTTCTATAAATGATAGGAACTTGAAATTTACTGCGTTTTTAAGATAATTGACCTCAGCTAAATCGGAGTACATGAGGTCAAACAGGAGTCCGATTTGTAAAAGAATGACCCATACATAAGTTCAAAATTTTAATTATTATTAATCGAAATTTTATAATAAAATTTTTTTATTTATAACATCTCTCTCCACCTTATGTCACTCTATTTATTAAAAATTAAATCCGTAAATGTTAATGGTTGAAAAATTATAAAATAAATGTAATTACTGTAGCAGTTTTTTTAAGAACGTCAAGTAATTGCTGAAAATGCATTAATTAATTGAGAGATATAGATAATGGGATTGAAAGTTTGAAATTTGCATTTGATCAGGTGGAGATTGTCTTATCATATAAAGCATTGATGACAATTAAACAGCCAAGTGAAATGAAATTAAATACACATTGATGACACCAATAAAGAAACTAAACTTACTTGTATAGTTGGTAATTGCAGACGTGAGCCTCAAGTAGCTTCCGCCAGTCACGCCGTTCAGTGGCTTTCAGACATCAGTTGGCAGCACCGGCCGCCTTCATATCGCTCGATATTTCGATATTTCACCAGAAATACTTACGCCCGATACCAAGCACTGCCGAATCAAATAACTTTCTAGCCACAGCAATTAGTTCAATTCACACGTGTTGACCAAACTACTAAAGTCGCTTAATTTTTTTGTGCTTAACTATATCGCGGCATAGCTCATACAGCTCATCGTTCCATATAATTTGATACTCGTTGCCAACATGCTAAGGACCATAAATCAATAGATCCAACCATAAATTCGAAAGAAATTTTCTCACCAATGCGCTTAACGTCTTCTCATAACTGTTGGATATTATCCAAGCTTCTGCACCATACAGCAGGGCAGGCATGAGGAGATATTTGTAGAGAATGAATTTGTTTATCAATTGCCTACTTAGCCCGAAGTAACATCTGTTGGCAAGAGTGATTTCTCCCTGCATATCATTTTTTCTAATCCTATATCGTTTTTGGTGTTTACGTTGGTTCCCAAATAAACGAAGTGTAAAAAATTAGTCCGTATTATAAATTGATATAATTGGGGCTTATAGATTGGATTGAATAAAGAAAAAATCATGAATTGATAGTTCGAAACCTTTTTAAAGCTATTTTGCTTTGAACTGTTAAGATGTTAAACTACATATTAGTTGTACATATCACAGAAATTATAAGAAAGTCTGAATATTCTGAATATTGTGAATATCACCAATATGAAAACTAACGAACTTTATAATTATAATTATTATAATTATTATAATTATAATTTATAATATAATTATAAGTCGAGCATGGTACTATACATGTAATATGAGTGTACTTTAAGTTCCAAAATATCAATTCAGAATTTGACTAAACTAGTTTAACAAAAATATTTATGCCTAAAATATATTACCCACCGATTGATAAATATAATGAATAGCTATACGTAGCGTCAGTACCAAGAAAATAAAATCTGTGAAATGAATACATTTCTGTTAATATTATACTAAAACGACCTATATAATCCAGAAAGTGTGGATTGCGTTCGTTGGCTAAGGTAAATTGTTTTTGCGAACCTCTTGATGGTCCATTATCGGAAAAAGCTTTAAAAAACTAATCTCGACTTTCGACATCTTAGTACATTTATTATTTTTGATATACTACATATATAATTATAGTTTATTAGAGGCAACAATAGAAAATATTATTTGTACAAAATATGTATTGTCAGTTTTAAGGTGCGCTTTATTTACAGTGTTACAGTATTATTTATTTAACAACGTTGTAATCAATAACTCTGAAATTAAATGCAATATGTCCTTCACATCATTAAAGCAAAAGTTGCATTCTTTTTCCTATTTATCAATAGTTGTCGTTATTTTTGTATTTTACTAACGCTTGTTATTTTACCAATTATGCGCAATATCTTCGAAATTTGAAATAATAAATAATTTATAATACATGCATATATACTGTATTATTATTAATATCTATTCTTTTACGCAATTACTAAATTATTACAGTTTGGTTAAATCAATCCCACCGTTGCACGGACTTGTTGTTTCGCCTTCAATTACAATTGTTTCGGGTAAGTTAATAGGTTCCGTTCCTGCTTTAAGTTCTTGCGATAGTGCATGTATATTATAACATAGCTTCAACTTCGTATTGAGGCCTTCAAAAATCTGAACCACACTTGGTTTCAAGTTAAAGAAAATTATTTTTTGATCACGTTTATTGAAGTCTTCAATCATTGAAGAGATTACCTTGGCAGCGGTAAAATCAGCTCCATAAATATAAGTACAGTCAATAACAACGGGTAATGTTGTCTTTATACCGGATTTAATAACAAGATTACGCACACTTTCAACTGATGGAAATATAAGACACCGATCAGGTGTCAGTTTCAAAAATTTCAAGCCATCATTGGTCTAGAAAAAAAAAATATTAAAGCATATAATTATATCGTAAGTCATTACTTCTAATGTTTCCAGTGACACCTTAGGTCTAGCCGAATGGTACAGAATAAACAGCAAATTTACGCCGATAGCAACTAAAATGCCAATTTCCAACGGCAAAACTAAACAAGCTATGAAGGCCACGAAACCCGGAATCAGATCAGAACCTAGTATAATTGACTCAAAATTAGTCAATGACGAGTTATTAAAAATTTTACTTACGCTTGCTCCGCCACATTGGCACGATAACATGATATTGTAGTTGGAAAATAACTGCTGATATAATAATAGCGGCAAGCACTGCTTTTGGAATGTAATAAAAGTATTCGGTTAAATACATTAGTGCTACAACTACAACAAGTCCTATGTATAGGTTTCCCATGGGAGTGCGTACACCACTGGCATTATTTACAGCTGATCGTGCCAAACCACCGTTCGCACGGTATCCTTTACAAAGTGAATTCGCAATATTAGATACACCAATCGCAAATAATTCCTGGGTAGCGTCAATAGGCTTTCCCTTTGCTGGTGATGATTAGAAACAATGTTTATCACTTCTGTTATCATAGTTATGAGTTGTTTAACTTACCAAAAGCTTTACAAACAGCAATGTTTTCTAGTAACGCAATTAGTGGTACAATAATTAGACCGTAACCTAAACTATTAATCATTTCCATAAATGTTTCGCCCTTGACTTCTTCATTTTCAAAGGTAACATTCGCAGGTACAGAATTAATAGAGAATGGTGGTAAACCAAACTCAGGCAAGCCCAATGGCACATGGCCAGTCAAACGAAAGTAATGATTGTTTTCTTTTTCTAATTTAGAAACAATTACAGTACAAAGAATAACTAATGATGCGTTACGTGTTACACCCAGGAACCATAGCGATTTATTTATGAACTTATGGTACCATTTCAACACCTTAGGCGCCATTTTAATTCGACCGATAGAACGCATCACAATTAATATCAGAACGCAGCTAATGCCAAGCAACGTATCAGGAACTCGAATATTACGAATGTTTCTTATAATAGTTATCCAGCGCTCAAGAAATGTAGTGCCTCCACTTTTAACACCTAGCATGCTCTTAATTTGTGATGTGCTTATTATTAAAGCCACTGCACTTGTAAAACCAGCACTTACTGGTCCCGACACGAATTCTACAAGAAATCCCAACTTAAATATAGCCATAAAAATTTCTATAATGCCAGTAATGAATGTGAGTAACACTGCTCGTTGCCAAACTCCTTGTGCGATTTGATAAACAAGCAAGGAAGCTATCGCAGTAGAGCCAATGGTGGAGTCCTTACAAGTGCCAAGCAAAACATATACAAAACAGCCCATAAAAGATCCATAGAGTCCATACTAAACAGAAAAAGTCTTATTTAGAAGTCTTGATAAATTGTATACTGTATTCACTATACTGTATATTTTTCACAGTTGTGAAATAGATCCCCTGAAATCCATTAAAGCTAATAAAACTACTGAATGCCATTTTTTTTATAGATATAATAATCAACTTTTAAAATTTCCCAGATACAAATGGTGTTTGGAGCATGTAATTTTTAACACTCGATTTGTAAACAAAAAACATACGATTTTCTTAATTTAAGGCAGTAGGAACACCTTCGAAATTAACTTTATTTCATTTTTACGAAATTAAGGAAATTTGTCTGTCTGAACATAGTATTAATGACATGTTTTAACAAAGAAAAGCACAATGCGGGCACAAAGTGTTATATCATAAATTTAGATTTAATAATCTAAATTGTTATTAGGACTAATTTTTAACACGTTTTTTATTAAGACTGGGCTTACGTCGTTAATTTAACACATAAAATTTAAAAATATTTTTTCAAATAAAAATTTACTTATAATCATCACTTATAAATTTGTGTTAAATATTTAATTGTATGACAACTTGAATGACATTCAAAAATGATAGTCTTCATCGCGCTTTAGACTTTACATATTTAGTATACTGTTCGTTTAGGTTTTAAACAGAAAATAGAAAACATAGTGTTTGGTATTTTACAGTTTATTTTCGTTTACTGGTTAAAACACAATAAATACAAGCGTATTATATCTTTAAAAATAAGAAGCGAACTGCGGTCAAAGTGACAAAATACATTAACGTTTTTGTTAACGGATAATTTTCTTATCATTATTTAGTGACTTTATAGCTTTTATACTTATTTACACACTGTTTCATGTTATCACAAATCCCATGATCATTATCACAAATGAAATCGTGATCACAAAAAAAAACATCAATAATATTATCATGTTTCAGGATATCAAACAACACTTTTGTACAACCTATATGTAAATAAAGATAACAAACCTCTGATGGTAAGCCTGCAACTCCAGCGTAAGCTAATCCCTGCGGGATAACTGTCAGCCCTACTGTTATTCCCGCTATCAGATCTCCGATTGCGTCGGTAGTTGTGTAATTTGGTAGCCATTGCAAAATAGGAAATCGTTTATACAAAGTTTTTTTGCGGAAAACATTTTTGACGTATGCTTTGCAACAGCTGGTTTCGGTTTTTGTTTCTAGTTGTTCTAAACTTTTATGCAATGTTGTTTGATGATCCGTTATCAATATAAATTCAGTGGATCCATTGAATTGAGACTCCACTGGTTCTTCTATTCTTGAAGTTTTCCGAAAAGGTGCTTGGTTCTCTAATGTAGACATGTTGTTCTGATTCTTAGTACATTTAATAATATTGCACCCACACTTCTATATACTATTTATGAGATTCTTTGTATTTTATTTGAGAATAAATGTGCGACACGTCCGCTAACACTTCGATCTCGTTAGAAAATAACGAAAATGGCAGACGAGAAAACTGTACCACTGTCTACGTACTTTTGATATCTTCATCTACATTAGGTGTTATAGCACCTTTCGTATTTATTTTGACATGATTTATTATGTTAAGATAAAATTAAAATATAAAACAAATTCTGGTTGACTCTTTTCATATACGCTTTTGTCCGCTGATCTTGAATGACAACGCGATGTCGCTTATTATTTACTCAATAAATTTGGATAAATTTATTTTGCTCCAACTTTGTTGCGTATCTACACTATGATCACGGAAAATTATGGACCAATTAACTTTATTTACAAATAAATTTTGCAATTATTGTTCAGTAATTTGAGAAATACCAACAGCTGCGTAGCGATGATAGATATCGATTTACTAATAGTCAGCAGTTATTCAATCTTGCACCTACTAAAGTGACACCCAAAATATTCAAGTTTTTTCTATTCTAAACAAATTCTGTCATCTCACAGATGGCAGTTAACTCAATTCATACTGATCAAATATTTAAACTACAGCCGCTCAAAGTGACTAAATACAAAATATTTTCATAATTCAAAACAATACAAAACAACTTGAAACAATGTAAAGAGTGTATGTGTATGTAAAAAGAAACATCCATCATAAATATGCATATAACATTTTAAGCTATTTTATTTTTAGATATTTTAAATGTATAAGCGATTTTATAAGATATGAATAAATATAATTACATTACATAATCCTCACTTAAAAGAAATTAATATTTTATTATTTTTAATAAAACTCAATAAAACTCTAATGCAGAAACTGTTAAATATTTTAATTTTATTTATAACTTCTAAATATATGAATTATTCAAATTTTGTTCATTTGCTCCATTCAAAATAGAGATACTTGCACATTATGAATAAATATCTGCGTATTGCTTTCTTAAAATAAAAATAGTGAAAACGTAAAATTAAACAAATTTTTTATTAATTATACAATTTAAAAAAAACTTTACTTAAGGTGTAGAAAATCAAACTATAACGTGCCACAAGCGATCAGCGTAAGTTTTTGTCAAATTCAAATATAATATTAAATTTATGTGGTAAATGGTATATTTAAACGTATTATTATTAATGTTTTATGATAAAAACATATCTATAAATGGATATATATTGCGAAAAAACCGAGCTTATGTCTTTTCATATTATTTAAGTGCGTACATATCTGAACCCAATAAATATATATTTCATTTTACAATAGCTTGCAATTCTTCAAACAGACGAATTCATTTCATTTTGCTTATGTGTAATCAAACTTAGATAAACTATAACTAAAATGTCTATAGATCTCATTCTGGCAGCGTTTTTTCGTATTTATTTTCAGTACATAATTCTATATACAATTTTGGTATATAATTTTCTAAAATAACATACACTTTATAAAATTTAAGACATTTTCGTAGAAAAAACGGTTAATGTTACAGAAAGAAAACTGTAAATAAATTTTGACTGTAAATGTTAGGAAATTTGTATAAATATTTGATTTTTACCAGGGACCGTAACAGTTATCATAAAAAAAATAAAAATCATCTTATAACTGTTATCATATGCATTTTAAAATAAAACTCAAAAAATAATAATTAAATTTGATTTTTATTATATTCATCAAAAATAATAATTATTATATGCCTTTTATTTTTTTCGCGCAGAAATAACTCTTAAAATTTGCTTCTTATATTAAAACGCACAAATAACTGGTATACTTGCGTTATATAATATAAAAAGCAAGAGTATTTTGTATTTTGGATTCATATTTTGTATTTATCTTCGCATTTTGTAGGAGAACAAATTTGTATGTAAAATACAAAAACAAAAAACTGAACTAAATCTTTACCTGCACCAACCTTTTCAAACATTTTCTATGGAATTGCAAAAACAACTACCTTGTATGAAACTTGCATTTTATATTTTCATTTTAAAAATATCGCGCAGAATTTGAGCGATACTCTTGCTTTTTATATTACATAACGCAAGTATACCAGTTATTTGTGCGTTTTAAAATAAGAAGCAAATTTTAAGAGTTATTTCTGCGCGAAAAAAATAAAAGGCATATAATAATTATTATTTTTGATGAATATAATAAAAATCAAATTTAATTATTATTTTTTGAGTTTTATTTTAAAAAGCTCATATATAAAAAGCATGCATAATATTAAGGATAAAAGTTATTAGAATGATAACTATTTACTTAAATAAGAGTTTAGACAACTTTTTGTTGCTGCTTTTTTTCATAAAAAATTTTAAAATAACTGTTATTTTCGGTCCCTGATTTTTACTTTAAATATAATATAAAGTGCGATTTGCAGATTTGCAGAGTTTAAATATGACGAGTGCTGCTACTCAAATCAATCTTCAAAGGATTTATATTGCCAAACTCCCACGGTGTAATTTCTTCCAAAGTGACCCACGCGACGTTGACGCCCGCCTGCAAAGTAAGATATAACTTTTAATAAAAGCACATTTCTTAGAAAGGCCTTAGCCAGGTCATAGGTCATATACTGTTTATTTTATTGCACCAAAAATTGAAAAAAACAATTATTATTCGTATTATATTATGCATTTAACGATAAAAACGATACAAAATAATGACAATAATGACAAAATAATACAATATTCATATTTAAACCTAAAAAAGGCACAATACATAATTACAAATAAAATATATGTATATAAACTTAATATTTTTACCTATTTCTGATTTTTCAAACAACAATGGGACTTTCTTTCTCGTGGTCTGTAGTTTGTATTGACAAAATCGTTTGTACTAATCAATTTCAAAATTTCCTAAAGCTGCAAATTGACTCTTACTTAATTTGAATTTGTTTCTATTGATCGTTATTGTATTTTTAGAATTAAATATATTTAGTGGTGGCAATACAGGTGTTGTTCGGGATCTCAGGTTTTTCGGTACACATTTATTTACGCTGGTTGAGGCGGTTGACACGTACTGTAAATAAACACAAGAATAGAGACAGAAGGAGACAAAAATATTACGATTAGTCAAAAATATTATTAGGATAATTGGATAAAAGTTGTTAGCAAAAACAACAAAAAAATAATTATTTTTCAAAAACAATGTGCATTTTAATAATAAATTTGTTAATATTCAAAAATATATATATAACATGTTTACATCAATTTCATACATTTATTTGAATTACTTCTTGAATTACTCTTTGAATTACTTCAAAAAGTCCATTTAATTGGGCAAATGTGTTAAAGCGCTGGAGTTAGCTTTGGTTTTGTTCATAACAGTAACTAACTAATAAATAAATTCCAAATTTAAGCTTAGATAATTTTAATCGTGTTTTGCGTATATTCTTAAACAATTAAATCCAATCTTTCTCAAGAAGTTATTGTTAGTATAATTATCCTACATTTTTCAAAAGCTTTTATATAAATCATTTTTATATCTTTATATATTAACAATAACAATAATAATAATAATAATAACAACAACAACAAGTACAACGACAACAAGAACATCTTAATCAACTTATCCAACTGAAGTACAAACTTTTATGTATACACACACACACGCACACGCACATATACATATATATACATGTATATAGGTTAGAATGTAGAGGTCCTTGCGATGATTTATTTGTGTGCTTAAAATTTCCAAGCGCTGTTCTTAATAGTTCTTCTATTAGTTTTTATGTATACGCAATTTATTTTATCTGATTTGTTTTATAGTCTCAATTGTATATACTTATAACTTATTGTATAATGTTGAATTAATTAGTTCTTAAATTTTTGCATATATAAAGTTTTATATTTTTATGTTTTATAAACTAATTTACATTCAGATGGATATTTGTCCTAAATATGTTAAATAAATAAAAAAAAGTTTGGCTTAATTATTTATAATATCTTCATCAATATGGAAATGAGAAATGATTTGACTGTGGTGTGTTGTTGTGTAGATTTTTGTGTTGAAGCTAAAAAATTTTATCTAAAATTATAGATTTCTTGTGCGATTCATGCAAATTCACAGATATAATATTAAGTGTTTATGTTTTCATGCAATCTATAATATTAGTGTAAAAAACAAGATTCATACGCGGGATGAAGCACATTCAGTTAGAAGGACATCCATAAATTAGGACAAATTTAAGTTAAATAATTTAAAATATGGACCAATGAACTTTTTATTCTGATTTATTTATTTTTTCAAATTAAATAAAATTTTAGTCGAATTACTAGTTAAACCTACATTAAAAGATGTTTTCAATTGCAGCACTTACTTAGCTTTCTAATTACGGTTACAGTCAATTTTAATTTCAACTATACGCAACGCAATTTAAATTCAATTAAATATATTTTTATTTAACAGTCTTGCAGTTAGAATTAAGCTATTTATAGTGAAGCATATTATCTATTTTATAACTTTAGACTAGTAAAAATTTATGAACTAAACAACAAGACGTGTTAGAGTTTTATGTAATACAGCAACTCATTGTTATGAAAATCCATAAGTACCTTTTCCACTTATACAGATCTATATTTTTATATACTTCTTAAGAATTGGTTTTCCATGAAGATTCACAATTGTTTTCGTTTATTGATAAATGTATTATTTTGTCTAAATAGTGTTTAACTTATCTTTTTTCCGTCAATAGTTCAAAGTCGTATTCTAATCCGACTTCACGATATTCTTCATTTATTATTAATAATTATTCTTAATCATTTCTATTGAATTAATAGCATTAAGCACTTCGGTTAATTATTTTATATTTTATACGTAATCAGTAAATAATTTTGTATTATTTTTATATATTATTTATGTGTGTATAAATGATTGGTTTGCTTAACTAATATTATCAGTTTAATTTATAAACAATTATATTTTAAAAAGTTTTCTTAGTTCTTACGAAATAAAAATTTCAATTTTTTTTTTTTACTATTATATTTGTTGAATTAATTTTTGCTTTTTATTTATTGAATTCTTGTTGATTTCCTGTGTAGATTATTAAAAAATCTGAATTGCAGACGTAACTCAAGATCTTTTCTTACTGCAAACAAAAAAATAAAAGTAATAGAAAAATAAACTATTAGAAACTTTTGTATTTTTTTTTAAATAAAATTCGAACTATCATTTGTATTCTGTGTATGTTTGATATGTACGAAAAACAATTAACAATTAAGTTAGAAGAAGGTAAAACAATCTCATTGAATGTGGACTTGCTGGACATAGAAATACAGGAATAGCTGAAACCTTTCTAGAACTCCAAACTTTAAAATAAGAAACAAATTGACAAGGGTCCACATAAATAAAAAAAATGAGAGGTATATAGGTACCCAAAAGATAACTGGAATATGTGCGGCAATAATGACAATGCGATAATGACAACTAATTTTTTTTATTTACAAATGAAGCAAAAATTATGATAAGCAAAAACAACTAAAATATGATTCCATTTCCCACATATATGTCGGCCTTTTAAAAATACAGTATCAACATTTTAAACACCAAATGAGATTTATATTAAAATGAGCATTTCCATCACTTTTATTAGTTAAAAGTTAAGAATTGTAATATGCGAAAGGACAGCAAAACAAGTATATATACAGGCAATGAGAGCAGTAAATACTTTTGTATAGAAATATGTACTTAATGACATAAATTAACATTGGGATAATTACTAAGGTATATGGGATGCATAATAGTCAACAAACAGCTATAAGCTATAAACAATAAACATTGTTTTATATACAGAGGAGTTCATTTCATTCTTAAATATGAAGTAAGTATATCTGATTGGCCACATTCCAATGATTTATACTAATCATGACGAAGGTTAATTTTGTTTAATATTTTTAATGGCTGAATGCGTACTTATAATATTGTATTTTATTGTTGTGGTTATTGATCTGATTCTGTTGTTTTGTTTGTAGTGAGGATTGAGTTGGAACCATATTGGTTTTGCTCACTCACGTATGTGCTTTAAAACTGGAGATATCTTCATTAAGAGTTGCAGTTTGCTCAATGTTATCATTATCATCTATTGGTGTAACGGCACGACTGCCAGGAATTATGGTATTATCAGGATCAATTTCTGGATCAAAATTATTTGCGCCACCACGAATAACCACATTGTCAGGGTCCACCTCTACGTCATAGTCGTTCTGAGGCTGAGGGGATGGTGTAGGTGATGGAGTTAACGAAAGGGGCTCCGGGTATTCTATTTCCATATTCGCCGGAGGTAAAATTAATTTTGGTAAGCTCGGTTTCATTTTTTGTACGCGTACAACTTTTTTTGTCATTCATGATGTTGGTTATATCGATCAATCATTATTTAACATGATTTATATATTTATATTTTTACAAAAAAATAAAAAATTTATATTAAATGAATTATTTTAATTATACAACTTGAAATGTGAAAAATACAAGAGAAAAACAAATAAACAAAAAATGTGTAATAAACAAAAACTATTTAAAAGGAATAACATAGAAACGAGTAATCAATTCTACAAGTAGGGAATGAAATAATGGATCTAAATGGTTCTAAACAATTTTTTACTAAACTTCTTTCAATAAATTTGTTTAAAACCATTTGTATTGTTATTTAAAACTATAGCAATGGTTCATTTATCGAATTTTATTTCATGTGATTAGGCATTAGTGATTTGTTTATGGATAAGCATGTATTTGAACAAAAGTCCCGCTATTACGATTCTCTATATCTATTTTTGTAACTTTCTTACAATTTAAAAATATCCTTTAAACAATAATATACTATATAACATTTTTACATCATAACAGAACTCAAACATTTTTGGTTGATAGGCGACGATTACGATGAATTATGACCACGTAAAGTGTTATAATTAAAACAAATTATTTTTCACATATAAATATTGGGACGAAGGTAAAGGGGTCGGCAATATTACCTGTTGTCAATTACGGAATTATATACATGATAATATTTTATATGAACTTCAATATTATGAAGGGAGAAATATAATTTATACTCTTTCCAATAATTACGAGGGATGCAATAAGGTATGTGAAAGTGTGCTTCAATCGATATTTCAATAAATTTTTTATCATTTATATTTCTTTTTCATCATAACTATTTTCAACGGAGTTTTGTATAAAATTTAATCCTGCTATTGTTGCCACAGTATTTGTTGCATCTGTTTCTACTGTTCTAAATGTTCTTGTTTCCACAGCATTTTTTTTCGTAGACAATGATAATGATGTTGCCATGGAAGCGATATCAATATCTAAATTTGTGGATACGTTTAAAATGTACTGATCAGCAGTAATTGTCAAGTTTTGTTGTAATGAAGAGCCAATTTCAAATTGATCATTAAGTAATGAATTTTTCTTGACTTTTCGAAATTCTTCAAATGAACCATTTTGTGCACTTTCATTTGAATTTTCATTATTTAAATCATTCACACATGATTTTGCGGTTAAATTTGGTTGTGATGGTAGCAATGGTGTAAGAATATCTTTAATATTGTATTGAGCATCCGCAACATATTTTTGTTTCTCTTTTATTAAAGATGGAACTGCTTGTGACGATGATATCAGAGATGACGAAATGGATGATTTGACAAATGGTGACAAATTTTGCAATTCACCTATATTTTTAAGAATTTTTCAATAATTAAACCTATCAGAGAGTAATTTTTTTCATTTATTACAGAAAAACATTCGTATAAACGAATTTAATATAACAAAACCTAAAGAGAAATTATATATAAGCACATATATATATATATATATATAGGCTCATATATATCAGTCACCAGCGGTGAGAGTTATCTACGACATTAACATTTTTAATTTTTTTTATTTATTCCTAGAGAAATCATACAAAAAGAAATAAAAGCTCGAAACTTACTTCTATCAATGTTACGTTGTAGATGTGCAGCAACTCTATGACGAGCATCATTAAATTCCAAGTGCAACCCTAGCCTGAGTAGTGATGTATTCTGCTCCACTAAATCGGTAATTTCCATTTCAATTTTGTTACCAAGCACTGATGATCGCTGAATTAAAAAGAAAATTTAAAAAGAAAGACCATATAAAATTATATATACATTTTACTTGATTTGAAGCTCTAAACTCTTCAATGGTACGACATTTAAGCAAAGCTTTTACTAGAGTTACAATCACGGGCGGGCTAATGAAATTTGTTTCAACATTTAATACTCTTAAGGTTTTGCTTTTTTCAATTGCTTCTGCTAGAAGAAGAGCTGTTTTATCAGTAAGGCCAACATTAGTTAACGAAAGAACTTCTAAATGTTCATTCTGGGGCAGTGCTACAAAAAGTTGCTCAAATTTTTCATCAGAAATATTCTAAAAATATATTATGTTGTTAAAAATCTTGGAAACATCAATTTTGTAAGAAAACATTCAAAGTGAGACATTATTCTTACTTTAATATTATTTAAGTTTAATTCGATCAGTTTCACGTCATCATTTTTGACGCGTTTTATTGATTCATCAATATCAGTATCGTTAGGTGGATCCATAGGATATAATTTTTGCTGTGTTGATTTGGTTATACCATCCCATCCTAAACCAACAGGTTGACCTTTATTTAATAAGGAAGCATGATACTGATCTTGGTTCATCATAGAATGAAAACCAAGTATTGCTACAAAATATTGAGATGCAATTTCAAACATGTCATGTTATTAATATAAAAATAGATAATACCTGCTAAGTCTATTATTTCTTCTTGCGTGGCATCTGTCAAAGCCTGTTCATACTCATCACCTAAATCAATAGCAATTTGTTCTTCGGCTTCAATTTCGCGTTCATCTCTAGGTGGTGGGACCCATTTCTTGCCCCGAACTGTACCTTTAATATATGGTTCAAATTCTGGTTGATCAGGAGTTTCCACAGCCTCCTTGTTAATATGTTCAATTAGCTTCTTACGATCCAAAGGTCCGGTAGGACTTTTAACACATTCATAACTGCAACGTTGATCAGGCGGCAAAAAATTGTCCTTTAAAATTAATTTAGAACATTAAATACACTCATGTTAACATTAAATATTATTCTTACATCGGGATCTACTTCCTTAGCTAATATATTTATTTCTTCAGGTGATAATTGTGCCAATAAAGCATCAACGTCCACTTCATCATATTCACTTAAATCTTTGCCATAAAGCTTCGCCGGCGTTGTCATAGTAGTGGTTTTTGTAGTCGACGAAGTCTACAAAGAAAAATAGTGATATGTTAATTAAAGGAATACAGTAAATATGTGATAATTAGGATATCATGTAGAAAAATTTAAAGCATCACACTTTTCTCGTGTTTAATATGGGTGGCTGTGGAGCTCGTCTTTTTATTTGAGGTACTGGTCGCAATTTTATCTTCTGAAATTCTGGTATTTCTTTAGATAATTGTAAGCTGGGTGTTAAATCCATATTTTTATTGAAGAAATGTTTACGATTCTCGAATAAAAGACAGGCTAGACTGAACTAAAAAAATAATATGCCAAGGGCTACTTAAATTGTATTCTTAAGCAAAAAAAAAACGATTTTCTTTAATATTTTATGGAAATCAATAAGTTCATTTACGAATACAAACCGTTTAGAACAAATCCAATTATGAGTTAATTTTTAAAAATATTTATATATATATATATTAGTATATAATTATGTATATATACATACCTATATATATATTGTCTATCATGCAGGCGGTGACTAGTTAAATGTAATCATTTTTAACTCAGTTTGAAAGTTAAAATGCAAAAATTAAAATTAAAATCATATAAGCCAACAATACGAATTAACGTTGAATTTTACTCGTAATACAGAATTCAATACTATGATACGATTTTGTACGTAGCAATTTCGAGACGACTGCGGAAATTAATTATGGTACAAAGTCATTGTTTCCAGTTGGTTGTTTGGGTCGACAACACATTTAAAACCATGCACCCAACAAAACTTTTGGTCGTAAACCAAAGAAAACAAAACCAAACAGCTTTCAACATTTTAGACAATGTCCAAATATCTTCACTGGTACGACCGTCGCAAAACATTGTCGAGCGTTGAGTTTACCTATATGTTTCTTGACGGTGATGCGCTTTGTGCACTTGAATGACTTCTCGTAAATGCCTTAAAAGTGGGTCTTGCTGATCTATTTAATATTTTAAACTTCTTCGTTGCTTATAACAGACTGTCCAAACGTTCTTACTAATACGGATGAGAGAAATTTAATACATATTCATATATATATACTACATATACATATATATATAGAACACATGCATATACATAGTACATATACATATATATACTACATATACATATATACTAGATATATATATAGTACAAATATAATACATACATATATATATATATAAGCTGTGAACTCATTTTGCTTAAATACACACAGTTGTTAATACAAAAATCATGGTTTTAAAAATATTTTGTGAATTTTTTAAATATTTAAATGAAAAAACGGCCTAGATTTTACAGATGAAATATTTTAATTTGGTTGATAATGGCGATTTCGGTAACTTGTTCGTTGGTCAGTATCTGTGTAACTGCGTTACACAGCAACAACAACAGCCAACAACAACATACATTCACTCGAGTTATTCTGTTACCAAGCTAATTACTCGAGATCGTGAATACCACTCATGACTGAATAAAACTACATAATAATTACCTGACATAATGTAATTTAACCTAAGCTAAACAAAGAAATGTAATTACTGGTTGTACTGAACTATTGATATTGCAGCATTAAAAATTACAAAATAAAGCAGACTAGTATTCACGTTAAGCATGAGTAACATTCGCATGTATCTGCGCAGATACCCGTAGTAGCATAACAAAAACTAGTTTCTTTAAAAACGAATACAATATAAAATGTTTAAATTATGTAACTGCTTAGCTGGCCTAATTTAAAGGTAAAAAAATATTTATGATGGATATTTCAAGAGAAACGAAAATATTTTCAAATTAAACTGAAAGTATTGATTATTGAACTATATCGAGATTTTAGTTTGAGTTGTTGTTTAGTACATTTTTATATTCCGAAATATTTATAAATATTTGTAGTAAAAAAGTTTTTCCCGAATACAGCAAATTTCCTTTGTATATTAATGCCGTTTCCGATTGATAAACCTGGCCTAACTTCTTCAATTGATTGGCCGCCCTAGATTAAATCCAGATTTACCAACCAAAAACGAAAACAATTTGAGTAAGTGACTAGAACAAATGTTTGTTATCAACTGACGATATGGAATTCTTAAAGTTTACATCTAAATTTTGTTTAAAATCATACCAGAAACTGCTGAACAATGCGTTGAGTGGAGCGTTGAGGATTCTGATTTTGAGGAAATTTATTGCCTTATTGCCCTATATTATATTTTTAAGAGTTGATAAGGTAATTGAAATATTAATTAAAGGTGCATTTAGAAGGTCAGGATACACAAAAATGAGAACAGAACAAATTCTAGACAATTTTTTACTCTTAACCAATATAATTTTTATATTTGTTTGGAATAAATAACTTTTGAATAAAGTTTGGTAAGACCAAATGTATTTGGTTTCGATTTGTTAATACATTTTTAAGTCTAAGTCTACTTAGTTCTTAATTGTATTTAATTTGTGTGTGTATATTAGGGTGCCATTAAGGTATATGGGCAATTTTTTTTTCGTAAAAACGGTTGACGGCACCCACTAGATCGGTTCATATTACTAAAAAAATAATCTGTGTGAAATTTTAGTTCTTGCATTAATGTTTTTAGGAGAAAAGCCGAACTGTACCATAAAGTTTCGACCTCCTGGAGCTATACATCATGCAAGATGGATGGTGAAAGTCATGCATGTATTAAAAATATTTTTATTTAGGAAAGAGTTCAAATTATCTACAGAAGAAGAAAATGCTCTTTGCGATATATGTATATTTATTACTAAAGTGTATGTTGAAGTATGGTTTAATGCTTTGTCATCAGTCAAAGCTCATTTTCAAGATTTTAATCTTCTTTCTATTCTCAGTCAAAGCTTGTTCATTTTGCTTTTTTGGATTTAAATATATCACCTGAGACAAAGAAAAAGATGGTTTCAAATTTTAATATAGTAGATAGTGATGACAAGAAAGTCAGGAGAGTATCAATAGATCGCGCAAAAATAACTGAAGGTAATAAGGATACTTTGCTCCGTCAACTTTAACCAAAATAATAAAAATTATGTCGGACAAACCTAGAATTAGTACCTTTTTATTTTTAAAAAGATTAAATTTTGGAAATATTGAATTTATTTTAAATTTTTTAGAAATATTAAATTTTTTGTAAAGCTGAAGCGGACAATTACATTCATAGTACTTTCAAAGCTAGCAATCGGGTGACTTCAACTTATTTTTTGTTTTATTCAATAACTATTAGAAATACAGAAAAACTTTGTATGAGTGAATTGTTTATTTTAAATAGATTTATAACTTTTAGGAAGACAGTTTTTATGTAAAATTAAATATGTCGGAGATATAAGCAATCAAAGATGAATTTTATGGAAAATCGTTAATCGTTATTTTCCAATCTTTGAGGCTCTTGGGGCACCATTTTCACTTACCCAATTGAACTAAAATTTCAAAGATTATTTTTTTAGTAAAATGAACCGATCTGGGGGGTGCCGCGGGCAATTTTCCGACTTTCAAAAATTAATGGCACCCTAGTGTATATACAGAGTTTACTGCAGAAATTTCAATATTATATTCAAAATTCTTTAAGAAGTAAATTTCAATTATTTTAACATTTTCATACCAAAAAATAGGCACAATTTTGTCTATTCTTCAAGATGATAATACAAGACTATATGTAATATGTAATAAGATTATATGTAACTGTCAAAAATTATTTAGAAGATTAAAATCAGGCAATCACAATTACTACTTCTTCCGACCCTTAAATAACGCCTAGTCTAAAAACAGTTAAGCAATTATATAGAAGTCGGATACTATTGTATATAATACATATTCATATTATTTATTGTATAAACTCAATTAAACGATATATAAGCAATATAGGCTAATTGACGTATAAACATATTTATAAAATCAACACACTAAAAATTTCAACTAAACTTGCTACTTACCCAATAAAAAACAATAAATAAATTTCTAAAAATAACAAACATTTTTGACAGCACAAATTTCTTTTATCTTTAAAATGTCAATGTCGAAAAAATTTAAACAAAACAGAGAATTAGTATAAATTTAATTTAATTAAATATAGCAATTTTCGAAAAAACGACAAGCTGAGCAAAAATAGGAAAGAAATATAAATTAGTGGATTATGACCTTAGCGTGACCAATCATACACATTAAAAATGGCTGTTGTGAAGAAATCTGTTTAGAACCCAAACAACTATTGGATCTTCCATTATTTTTCTGTTCTCATGACTAAGATTCAGCGCAAGCGAATTTAATAAAAGCCAACTATGCAGAAATTATTATTATAGATTTTGAAAAAATATTTTCCTATATTCAAAATAATATATTTTCTAACATTAGAATAAAAATCTAAAGTTTAAATTAACGCTAATAAAGTGGATGATCGGAAAATGCCTGCTTTGACAAAATCATCGAAAAAAATAATAAATGCTCTTATGTGATCGCCATATAAGAATTAATGAGCTTTACTAAGCCACATTTGGAAAATATTTTGTATTAAAATGCAAAGATTAAAAGACTGTCAGTATAGAAAGTTACAGCTAGGTAAGAACGGTTTACTGACTACCTTGAAAAATATCGCACAATTTCCAAATCATTATGTGTAACAATTTTGGTTCAATTGAAGTTGACTCAACGTATCGAAAAATATAATATAATATGTTGAAAAATAACAAAAAAAAAAATTCTTTCAACTTTCTGTGTGGGTCGCGGAACTTTTAGTAAATTACATGGAACAAAACTCGGTTTTCATATTTGAAATTTTTGATTAAAAGATTTGATTAAAATAATTGACAATTAAAATAATATAATTATATCCAAAGTGATATATGATTTATATTCCATATAACATTAACATAAGTAATGTATATCTAATATGCCAAGCTGAAAAATATTTAACTAAATTTTCAACTACTTTTTTTAAAAATTTATTAGTTTTAATGAAAGACGTGTTTGGAATTATTGAAACTTAAAAATTGGTCTCATCAATCTTTGCTTCAAATGCATATTAGATACGCACACACA